TCGATGCAATTGAGAGTACTAGGGGTAAAGTGGAATTTACCCTTATATTTAATCAGTTTTGCTCAAGCATTTGAAGATTATTGTTTTGTTTTAACTTATCAGTTGATTATGAAGAATTAAAATTTATTTTAATTGTTCATATAAATTGTTAGTCAAATTGCAACAAAATACAGCAGATTGTTCTTGAAAATATAATTTAAAATTCAACTCTAATTCACCAAAACCCTTCCGACATTCAAAATTGCAGATTCTTTCAGATGTAATTTCCCAAAACCCTAATTCTATTATTCTGTACCCAATTTATGATAATCTAATTTTGATCTTCTGATACACTGAAAATGTCAGTTCACAAAAGAATCCGAGAAAGTTTCGCTACGTCTCGCCGATTCAGTAAAACTACACTGTTGCATACATGTTCTTCTTTCTCATCATGGTCATCGAAAAGCAGTAGTTCCGCGCCGCCCCCTTTGGCCCCCCAAATGCGTGGGCGGTACGTGGATACAGATAATCCCGAGGGTAAAAATCATGAGTTTGGTGGGATTGGAGAAATTGGTTCTGAAAAATCTAGGATATTTAGTCCAGATTATAGTTCATGCAATTGGGGTGGAGAAAAATGCAATCGTGGTATTTCCAATGAGTTTGGCGAGTCGGAAGAAGGAGAAGAGGAAAACAGTGATGAAGATAATGACGATGAATTTAGGGTTTTGAATTCATTCGACAGAAACAGAGAGAGAAGTGATGTTTCTAGAAGAATCGAGGTGGACGAAGACGAAGTAAGACACCCTTTAGTTAGAGAGGTTTGCAGGCTGATTGGTCTCAGAGCGTCATGGACACCGAATCTCGAATCGGAGTTCAAGAACTTGCTGCGCAGTTTGAAGCCTTCTCAAGTTTGTGCAGTAATTCGAGCTCAATCCGATGAAAGAATTGCTTTAGAATTCTTTTATTGGGCTGACAGGCAGTGGCGGTACAGGCACGATCCAATGGTTTATCATGCAATGCTTAATGTTCTTGGTAAGACCAAGTTATGTCAAGGAGCTAAGCGTATTCTTCGGCTTATGGCACGGAGAAAGATCGAGATTTGGCCCGAAGATTTTGGCTGTGTAATGGTTTCTTTCAGTAGAGCTGGACATTTTAGGAAAGCAATGCAGGTGTTGAATCTCATGCAGAAAGCAGGAATCGAGCTTGATGTTTCGATATGCAACACCGCAGTTAATGTTTTGGTTGAATGGGAAAAGTTGGAGAAAGCATTGAGGTTTGTGCAGAGAATGCAGGTTGTAGGGATTGAACCTAATGTCGTCACGTATAATTGTTTGATTAAGGGCTACTGCGAAAAGAATCTTGTTGAAGATGCCATGAAGTTGATCGTAGAAATGCCCCTGAGAGGCTGTTCTCCGGATAAAGTCAGCTACTATACTGTCATGGGTTTTTTGTGCAAGGAGAGAAGGATTGACGAACTGAGAGGGCTTCTGGATAAGATGTTGAAAGAGAGTAATTTGGTGCCCGATCAAGTTACGTACAACACTCTTATCCACATGCTATCAAAGTACGGCCATGCAGAAGAGGCGCTAGGGTTTATACGAGAAGCAGAGGAAAGAGGTTTCCATGTCGACAAAGTTGGGCATACTGCTGTAGTGAATTGCTTTTGTCAAGAAGGAAGAATCGATAGGGCTAAAGATCTTGTCGATGAAATGTTATTGAAGGGGTGCACCCCTGATGTTGTGACGTACACTGCTGTTTTGCATGGATTTTGTAGAATAGGAGAAATCGAACGAGCTAAAAAACTGCTGCAGCAGATGTACAAGCACGGTTGTAAACCAAACTGTGTTTCTTACACAGCCTTGTTGAATGGGCTTTGTCTGAACGGGAAATCTTCAGAAGCAAGAGAGATGATGAACATGAGTGAGGGAATGTGGGCCCCGAATGCTGTGACGTATAGTGTAGTAATGCATGGGTTTCGTAGAGAAGGGAAGTTGTCAGAGGCCTGTGATGTAATGAGGGAAATGATCGGAAAAGGGTTTTATCCTTCTCCAGTCGAAATCAACATCTTGATTCAGTCTCTTTGTAAAGCGGGCAGAGCAGATCAATCGAAGAAATTACTCGAGGAGTGCATGAAAAAGGGGTGTGCTGTAAATGTGGTGAATTTCACTACAGTAATTCATGGATTCTGTAAAAACGACGACTTGGAAGCTGCGCTGTCTGTTCTTGACGACATGTATCTGAACAACAAACACCCCGATGAAGTGACGTATACAGCTGTCATTGACGCACTGGGAAGAAAAGGTAGAATAAACGAGGCTAATGAAATGACCAAGAAACTGCTCCACTGTGGATTGCTTCCGACGCAAGTCACTTATCGGTCAGTCATCCATCATTTCTGTCAGCATGGGAAAGTGGATGATTTGTTGAAACTGATTGAGAAGATGCTTCGAAGGGAAAGCTGCAAAACGGCGTATAACCAAGTTATTGAGAAGCTTTGCTGTTTTGGAAATGTCGATGAAGCTTATGAGTTATTGGGGAAGGTTCTGAGAACTGCTTCTAGAAGTGATGCGAATACTTGCCATATTCTCATGAGAAGTTTTTTGAAGAATGAGAATCCGATTGGATCGTATAGAGTGGCTTGTAGGATGTTTAACCGTAATTTGGTTCCTGATTTAAAGCTGTGTGAGGAAGTTAGTAAGAAATTGATTTTGCAGCAGAAATTTGATGAGGCGGATAAGCTTATACTGCGGTTTGTGGAACGAGGTCATATCCCACCCGAGGGCAAAAAGCCTGCGTTTGTGTGACAAATAACAATATAAGCACTTCAAACGAAACCGATTCCTTAATCAACTGGAGAAGGCATCAGGTATTATTCGCTGATATATTGTAAGATAAGCTGATCCTCAACGAAACAATCGTCGGTTATCTTGTATTTGTTAAGGAATTTGATTCCTAAGTTTAACGTTGACTGTTCGTAAAGATAGATATGGCTTTACTGGGATCAATCGGCGATTTCCGATTTTAAAATGTAGAGCACTTTTAAGATTTCACCTGGGACCAATTTAGCTATCTCGCGTAGAAATCGAGCTTAAATTTCATGTTCGAAATGTTAACCTAATCTGTGAGTTCTTTTGTGAACGCATTAGAGTCTTGAAAAAGCAAAATTTTCTGAGCATGAATTTCTTCAGTTATGGTGGTTAAAAATCCATTTATTTTCTCAACTGTAATTCGATCCCTGAACTTGAAAAACGGGGTAAAAGGAAAGATGAAAAAAAAAAGTAGAAATATTTACACCGAGTCATCTAACACCTTGTTTTATCAGCTGACAAGCTTCTGTCTCTAACTGTAAGCATAATTTTCAGACGATGCAGGACCGAGCGCTTGTCTTTGGACCTTGCCTGCATAGTGTATTTAAATTTACATCAGGTAATTCATAGAATCACTTATCCCGCTTCAATCCCTTACTCGAACTTCTCTAAATCGTACTTAAAAAAAAAAAAAAAAAGTAAATCTCGACACTGAATTGCTATTTTTTACGGCTTTCTGATTTTAACGTGGAAAGCATGTGCTAGATATCCTCACCTGCCTAAAATGCTAGTTAGTGCCTTGAATACTAGGTAGTTGATTTATAGCCTTTTTTCTTACATAGGATTTTTATGAATGTCTTCTCTTGTTACGCATTTATTGAATCCCACCAACATAAGCGAATCTATCAGTATGCTGTGCATAAACGGAAATTTTGCTGTTGCGTATAATCGTGTGGAATCTTTAAGTCACTTGTAAAAGCATACGAATGATGTCGCATGATTTTCAAGTTCTATGCAGGATGTGTTATTACCGAACAACGATGGGAAGGTTAAAAAAATATGGAACGAGGTGCAGAACATGAGCTCGAAGGTAAGTTGATTCTGAATACACGATACAACATCACACAACCTTACAATGTATTAAACTCCAATTTTTTTATCACATATTAAAAACTGTAAATACAATAATGATTCTTGTTAAAAATGACATGTTTATTTTATGATATAAAAGTGGGCTGTGGGCGGGCTATCGTTGTCAATTTGTTGGATTCGTTAAGAAACATTAGGTTGATTGTAGGCTGTCTAAGTCGATGTTCCATATCAAGGAAACTAAATGCATGAATTGTGCAAACTTTTCCTTTCCCTAATCTCTTAAAACACGGTACTATGTATTCTAATGCGACGAACATAAACTTGTCGGTTAATCGGTTGTTGTATGTTGTAGCATCATATCTTGTGACATACGAGTGTGTTTTCCTTTTGTTTAGGGAGGTTAAGTATTACTTCAGAAAACAATTTTACATGCATATTTTTTTTTTCTTTTTTAATAGGAATTATGCATTATTATTAATGTTAATGGTAAGTTACATTATCACAAGACAGCATAAGCTAGGCCCTGTATACATTAGATGTCTGGGACTGGTCCAATATTTTTTTTTTTCTGGATTATTATTATTGAATATATTAAGTAAAGACTTGTATTGAATTGCATTGTAGTAATGTACATTGTCTTCATAGCATAAAACAAATAAACTCCCACCCCACAACCACCACCACCACCCACCCAACCACCACCGCAGGGCTCCACCCAAGAATCAGGCCATTGAGATAGGAAATAAATCATTAGGGTCCAACTGGAGAAAAGGGGAATAGAGATTTCATTGAATAATATATTTGCTTTTTAGAAATTAATGATTATCATTGTTTCTCAAGCAAAGTTAAATTATAATTTATAACTAAATAAATAAATAAAAAGGAAAAGTAGAGAGAGAGAGAGAGAGAGAGAGAGGGGTTGGGTTTAATTTATATGATAAAAGTTAATTTGAATAAAACACCACAGCATGCATTGTCTCCTTGTGAGGTGTCTATAATCCTTTCCCTCACCTGTCCTTTTTACCTTTTTACCCACTCCTGCAAATTTTTATGGGACTTCTTCTTCTTCTTCTTCTTTTTTTTTTTTTTTTTTAAATAAAGAAATTAAAATCTTCTTTCAGGATATTTATTTATTTATTTATTTATTTATCAACAATATGTTTTATTTTATTATATTTAATCTAGTATTGCACTAATCAGGGGCGGACCCAAGGCATGTGTTGGGGGAGCCGCCCCTGCAGATTTTTTTTTTTTTTTTTTAATATTTTGGGTCATTTATGTATTAATTTATACACTTTAGCTCCAAAATTAAAATTTTATACCATTTTACCCCAAATTTTTTTTAGCCCCCACCCAAAACCCCTGGATCCGCCCCTGGCACTAATAGTGAAACTGCAATCACATGATAATGTGATACACTTGCACACACATTTGTGTCTTAATGTTGTCTTCTTGGATATTAAAAAGCATCCATTTTATATGTATAACATTAACTGTAGAATATCATTAATTTTGGGACAAAATTTAGCTATAGACGAAATAGCATCGTGTTGTTTTCCCCTATCCCATCTGATAGATGTCCCATTTTTATTTTTATTTTTAAACTAATTATTTATTTTATTTATAAATTTTATTTATTGTGGTTAATTTATGTCAAAGGGTCTCAATCTACTGCTTAACCAAAAGAGAAAAGTTAAAAAAAAAAGATAGAAAAAGGAACAAGGGAAGAGAGGAGAAAGTGGCTAAAACAAGGAAAGCTCTCTCAAGTTGCCCATGTGCCCTCGATTTTGCTGTCTCCAATATTGTCAAGAATCTTTACCTCATCTGGTTTTCCTTATATATATATATATATATATATATATATATATATATATATATATATATATATATATATATATATATATATATTTATATTATATTTATCTTCAATACTTTTTAAATATATTGAAAATTTGTATAATTATAACTATTCTTTAATGGAGTGGTAGTCTGGTCTATGAGATGTTGCACTTGGTGGTTTTGAATCGTACATTTATATAAATAACTATACATTAAGCATACACATACACGAGTGTTGTATTATTATATGTAGATTAATGGTTCAAGATTATTAGATGTATTTCATCGGAGTATAGCGTCTCCAAAAGGACCAAAACCGTGAAGTGGGGTAGCCAACACAAAGCAGCTTTCCAGATAAGTAGGGATGATTGCTTGAGTAAGTGCTGATATATTTAATTAATCTAGTTTCTCTCGTCCATTACCATTTACTACATATTAATATTAATATATTATAATATATTTAGAGTAATCAAATAATCCAAAATAAAAGAAAAAGGAAAAAGAAAAAAAAAGAGGGGGGAAAAAGTACATTTGTGCAGTATAAACGCATACACTGGCGCATGCCATCATACTTGCAATTACGAATTAGTGATCATTGCTCCTCCGCCTTCTTCCGATCTCCACCACCTCACCACTCGCCGGAAAATAAAGAAAATGGACGAGTCGTGGAGAATGAGGATGGGAATGCCGACAGCGCCGCCGCCACAAACACGGCACATGCCAGAGTATGCTGCCCGGAGATCCACAGAGGACGCCGCCTCCCACCGCCGTAAACCCATCTCCGACGACCCCTTAAACCCCGAAGACTTCAACGACGTTTTCGGTGGGCCCCCTCGAACCATTCTCTCCCGCCAGTTCTCCACCGGCTTCTCAAGATCATCCTCCTCCTCCACCACTTTCTCCTACGAGGAGATTTTCCGGCCCTCGGACAAGTCGTCGCCGGCGACCCGGAAGTCCGGCCGGAGCTTGCCGGAGTTCATGATCCCGGGTCAAACGAGAAAAACCGATCACAATAATCAGAACAAACGTCAAAACAAAGGGTTTTACAGCGATATCTTCGGATTAGAAGACGATCAGAGAGTGGTGAGATCAAGATCAAGATCAAAGGCAAGCTCTTCATCTGTTCTCAGCTCGGAGGAGCTCAGCCCTCTCCGGCCGCCGTTCGACTACGATGTTTCCTTCTTCGCTTCAAAACTCAGGTAGCTAGCTAGGTTTTCGATATTTTTAACATTTTTTTTACTTCAAATGAACAAAGAGTAAATGTACTGAAATAAATTCGGATCGATTTTCAGGCCAATAAATGTAAGATCAGAGTGGACATCAAAAAGAACAGGAATGGGGCACGAAGAACACCAAAGACAACAACAACAACATATGTCGACGCCGCCATTTGCGGGCAGACAGCCTTTTTACGGTACCACCGAAAACAATTGCCCTGATAATTTGAGGAGCTACCCTTTTGGTCTTAATCGAAAGAATTCATCTCCAGAGACGATTAGTATGGAGCCCATTTCGAACAACAGTTACAGATTCTCTGCAGATGACTTGGAACTCGTCAACTCACCTTCGTCGCCCGTTTCTTCGATTTGCCAATCTTCCGGAAAAGAACAAAAAGGATGTTTCCCAATGGAGGAAGAACAAGATGATGATGACGATGATGATGTCATGAGCTCGTATGTAATTGAGATCAATTCTGATAATAGGGAAGGCACGTGTGAATCGAACGGTGTGGATGAAGCGATTGCGTGGGCGAGAGAGAAGTTTCAATCGCAATATTCTACTGAAGATTTGAGTGAGTTATTAATTTTTTTTTTTTTTGTATATAGTTTTCTTGAGTTCGGGAAAGCGAATCTTGAATTATTACTAAAAATTGGTTCGTATCGATGCAGAAACGATGGACGGGCATCGTGTTTCTATGGGGCAAACAGAGAGTTATTATAATTCATTGGTAATAAATATAATTGTCCATTTATACGATTTCTTGCTGCCAACTGTCTTTATCACAATCTAATTTCAAACTTACGTCTCTTATTTTATAGGATGAACAACGGGATAAGTGTGCTGCCAAAGAAGAAACGCAGCAATTTGAATGCACGGTAATTTAAACGAAATTCAACTTTGATCGCATTTGAGACTATATTGTTATTAAACGAAAGTGGATTGATTCGAGATATTTTATCGAATCATAACTGAAAAATCGGCTGCTTTTCAAGCAATGTCATACCTACTGCGATAAGCAAGCAAAAACAACAATGACGTGACTAATGTGAATCTTTTTTCATTACAAGATAATAATAAAGTAATAAAAACTTGTTCTTTAAATCCTTACAGCTAGAAACGGAGCTGCAAATATTGGACGAGCAGATAAGGTTGTGGTCAAGTGGCAAGGAATCCGATATCCGATTGCTTTTATCTTCTCTGCATCAAGTGAGATGAAATTTCCTCAAATAAACTAATTAATCATCAACGTCTTTTAAATATTCGATTTTGCCAAAATGACAAGAATACCCCTGTTTCCCCCGTTCAGATTCTATGGCCGGAGAGTGGATGGCTGGCTGTGCCACTGTCGTATATAATCGAAATCTCGCAAGTGAAGAAAGCGTACCAGAAAGCCCGTTTATGCCTCCACCCCGACAAGCTCCAGCAACGGGGTGCTACTGAACAGCAAAAATACGTTGCTGATAAAGCCTTTTATGTTCTACAGGTTCGTTTTTTTCTTCATTTTAAATAGCAGATAATTAGTTTATGTTCGGTTATTTATAACGGTTGTATGTTCTTTTCAGGATGCTTGGTCTGCATTTATCTCCCAAGATGTGTTCTGAGGATTATAATTTATTTTCTTTTCTTGCAAGAAGCAGAGTAAAATATCCAAATATTTGTGATTATATTTGTCTGAGTGTCTTTCTTTGGATCTTGTTTGTGTTCAACTACTGTAATAAATTAATAATTCTATATTATTTATGATTTGACTAAAGAAATGAGAAGAGAGCCAAGAAAATGGGGTATTTATAATTATATTAAGAGATTAATAATAAATAATATAATAATTAATTATTATATTTAAATGTGTTGCTTTATCAACAATAATTCCGTGAACTCGTGGTCGGTGGTCTTGAGCATCAATGGCAGCGGAATATTCAATCCGCTCTGTACAACCTCGATATGCCGCGGTTTGATCTTGTTCTCCAAGCTGAAACTAAAATACTGCGGGAATTCCTTAATTTCATCCAATTTCCCCTCAATTTCCTCTCTGAAATATTCAAATTTCGGCTTGAAATTATTCTCAATACTGAAAGTGAACAGCGCCGGACACCTGAGAACCATCGCCACCGCATCGGATTTCGAAAACCCCAACCCGACGAGGAAATCCAGCTTCGGAATCAGCGTTTTCTCGACGCTGGAAACCAGCAAAATCGGATCTTGATAAGCCAGCGCGTGCACATCTCTAAACCCTAATCTGCGGAGATAGAAGAGGGCCGGCTTCAGTTGGTCCCGGACGCTGGAAACCAGCAGCCTAGGGCATTTGTTGACCGCCTTTCTGAAATTCCGATCGGGTACTTTGAGATCCGACGAGAGGAAATCGAAAACCGGATCTAGGTCGGATTCGATGCGTGAGGTTAAAATTGCGGGGCACATGCCGAAGATTCTGCCTAGATCTTTGAGGTGGATGCCTTTTGATTGGAGGAAGGTGACGATTTCGTGGATCGAGTGCAGAGAAACTGTGCGGAGAGATGGGTTTTGGGCCAAAGCCCGGCCCGAATTGACGCCCATGATTTCTAGGCAGAGGATTTTCTCTTTGAATTCGAATGAGAGATTTGCGTGGAGGGTTGTTTGGTAGAGTGGATTTGTGTGGAGTGGGGTTTTTGGTCTGCATGTTAAAAGATTGTTGTTGCTGCTCTGCTGCTGCTGCTCTAATTCTGCACTTGGTTTTGGTGAACAAGAGAAGGTGACGGAGGAGGGGCTGCATGCCACCGTAGCTGCCAGCATGGCGGCGGCGGCGGTGGTGGTGGTGGTGGTGGTGGAGTGGGATAGAAGAAGTGTGGTTTGATGATGCCTACAATGAACATTCAGCTTTCCTTTTTGTTTTTTTTTTATCTCATGTTGGAACTGACACCTGGCAACTTTGTCTAATTTCATTGGCTGGAAATGGATTTCATAAGATTGGATCAGATTATTCACTCGTTCAGTTATTAAAAAAAAAAAACACAAAAGTAATTAGTTGACAAGAACAAGCTTGCTTATTATTATTACAATCTGGGATGTTCTCAAGTTAATAAAACATTGGCAATTCGAATCCAGGGATAACTGCATATTGAATAAAACAAGAGAGTTATTTTATGGAGATACAGGTTCGACAAGCAATATACACACACCGACAGCAAAAACAGACGAACAACGACGGAAAAATCCCGATCAAGTCGACAAATCTGCAAAAAGAATGACAGAATGATATAAGGTTTCACTTCAACTGCGTATCGAAATAGAATTTCAGATTAATAAACGCATTACCATTATTTGCTTCATCGCCCGTTTTCCACACAATATCTTTCAACCCAATCGACAAGTTTTTGTAGAACTGCATCACAAAGACACCCCCAAAAAAGGAGAAATCGAACACAGAATCCAATTATCGAAACATTCGGAATATATATCTTTTTCGATTAAATAAAGGACAAACGGTGAAAATACCTTGTGGAATTCTAGCGTATCACCTCCAGACTTACGAAGCTCAACCATGTGTAGCGAAGGAGCCACTTCAAATATCTGCAACAAGACAATTTTCAAGATTTACTCGACCGATGTATCAAAACCAGAAACCAGAGTGCATTTGGAAAAAAGAGATTGCATACTTCAGTTGTAATTGCTAAATGACCCTTTCGCCCTGATTTCTCCCCATGAAGTTTCATCTGAGACACCATAAATAGATAAAGGAGTTAAAGTTAAATATATGTCTAAAAAGTCCCTAAAACAAAAATGAATTCCTTTCGTTCTTTTACTTTTTTGTAAGTGGTGTGTGTAAATCACCTTATAGTTGTTTTTCTTGACATCAAACCCCATCGGACCAGCAGCTTCCTCAATTTTCGAGATGATCTCGTTGGCAGTGCTTTTAGATGTAAATCTTGTTTCTCGTTTCACAAGACCCTATAGTAATTACAAAATATTAAAAAAAGAATGTTAGGCGTGTAGTGTAATAGAAATTATCGAGATTCTGATTCTATTTATCACATACCATTTGTTTTTCGAAAAGGGAACTCAGATTGAGACCCTGTGAGGTAGAGATAAGCTCGAAGGCATTCATGGTCACTGGTGCTATAGGTGGCCTTTCATCCCGCCTCTCAACAACTAGGTTTGGAGATTCCTGTTTATGAAAATGAATGGCTAATAATTAAAAATTAAAATTCTATTTCCAAATATTTACTAATTACGAAGCAAAAGAATGAACACCAACCGCCGATTCATTAAAAATAGAATTAACATCGTCCAGTGTAACTTCCTCGTGTTCAAAAATAGGTGGCTTGTATCCTTTCTTGAACCACTCATTCTCAAGGACCTCATTAGTTGTGATGCGCTGTTTTCACGTGGCAAAAACATTGCTTTTGTTATATGATCGGATAGAAAAAGGGTTCTTGCAGAATATAATATTGAGGCCAAAAACAAAATAAAAATTGATTCTTTGACCAAAAAGATCGTTTGGTACCGTTGATGGATTGGGATCCAAAATCCTCTTGATTAGCTTCTTTGCGCTGGAGGAAAACCACGGAGGGCACGAAAAGTCCGCCTTAAAAATCTGCAATCAATAAAGTAATGACAAAATGTAATGTAGATATTGAGATTAAAAAAAAAAGATGTTTTTTTTCTTACCTTTTTGTATAATACCATAAGATTCGAATCTTCGAAGGGCAAATAACCAGCCATAAGTACGAAAAGAATAACACCACAAGACCAAAGATCCGCCTTGGCTCCATCATAACCCTTATTGTTGATCACCTACAAAATTAAATAGCCAAAAGAAGAGATATTAAGAATTTTTTAATCAGTCACTAAACAAAAAATCGAACAGAGTTGTGCCAAAAGCTGATTGCGTACCTCTGGAGCAACATAATTTGGCGTACCACATGTTGTGTGAAGTAACCCATCCTCCTAATAAAAAGATTACGAAAAAAGAATTAGTATTAATGCATTCGTATCCACCAATTTGTAAATTTAAGTAAAACGTAAATCATAATACCCGAACTTGTTGAGGTAAAGCGCTCAATCCAAAGTCAGACACTCTGAGAACACTATTGGCATCAAGCAGCAAATTCTCCGGCTACAATCAAAGAAAATGAAGAAAAAAAATATTGGAATCTTTTCATCGTCTCCAAAATATTCAGTTTGGGTAATTAGGAGAGAAACGGATTAAACAAATAAATTGCAGGCTCACTTTAAGGTCTCTGTGGTAAACACCTCTGCTATGGCAATAATCAACAGCATTAATAAGCTGCTGAAAATATTTCCTCGCTTCATCTTCTTTCAGCCTCCCTCTAGAAGCCTGGTCACAACAAAAAAAAATATAAAAAAATTAAATCGATTATTGTTGCGCACAAGTTCATTATCTTAAGAGTGAATAAGACTACAGTCGTAACATACAATTTTGTCGAAAAGTTCGCCACCAGTGATGAATTCCATAACAATATATATCTTTGTCTTGCTAGCCATAACCTAGCAACGAGAAATAATTTTTCAATCATTTAACATGTAGTAAAAATAAAAGCTTCCCAGTGTGCCCAAATCGTATTCTGTCACTAACCTCGTGCATTCGAATGACGTTAGGATGCCTTATTAGTTTCATGGTAGAGATTTCACGCTTGATCTGCAAGTGGGACAACAGAGTTGGAATGTGAAACTCAAGATCTCAACAAAACACGAATATTTTCAACTCTGGTTAATTTCCTAACAAATACTGCAACGAATGAATGATTGATTGATCAGAAACAATCTCATTATAATTCAAATAAGATCGGGAGCAAAATATCAATTAGTGATTGCATTATATGCAAAACCTCGTTAGTCAACCAACAAATTAGATAATACATAGAGCTGCATCGGGGATTACAAACCCCACAAAAAGACGGGAAAAGGGAAGATACGAAAGAGGTACTCCATAAAATCGCACAAGTGGAGCCGATTTTTACTAAAAAGTGAAACATAAACAGAACCGGATGCCAGAAGCAAACAGTAAATCCAACATCAGGATGTCAAACCCCACAAAAAAGCATGGGAATAAAAGCAAACAAAATTGAAAAGTCAAACCAACAATTCAGTATATACTGACTCTAAAGTCTGGAACACCAACAAAATCAGATTCAATTCAGAAGCAAAGAGTAAATATGCCGATCCATCAAAATCAAGAACCATACGTAACAGAAGATAATTAAAATTTCAAAACAAAAAAAATGTAATCGAAACCGAACCTGGCCAATCATCTTGTGCTTGAGAACCTTGTCCTTATCAAGAATCTTGATAGCCACATTCTCACCTGTTTCCAAATTCTTAGCAAACTTCACTTTCGCAAAAGTCCCTTCACCTAATGTTCTTCCCAATTCATACCGCCCCACCCGCGTCCGCCCACCGCTACTACTCCCAATTCCACCACCACCACCACCACCACTTGATCTTGATGCCATCACCATTCCTAAATCCCTCTCTGTTTCCTTTTATTTTTTTTTGTGTGTGTGTGTGTGTGTATATATTATATTATATATATGTGTGTGTGTGTAGATTCACCAAGATTCACCACAAAACCCCCTTTCTGAACAATCCGCAGATTTATTTTTTTCAGCTACCCTGATTTGCCAATACAAATCCCATCCATTTTATTATATATAAAAAAAAGTTTTATTTCTTGAATATTCCTGAACGCTATAAAAACCTCTTCTTCTTGCAAGGTTGCCAAACCTGGGATTTTCCCACATTCATCTTCTTTTTTCCTCGAATACTTTTCTCTCTCAAAAGGACCACACAGTAAAAAAAAAAAAGGGCAGATCACAAACCAATCAAGATTGCAACTTTCGTAGGAGAGAAGGCGGAAATTCTTCTGTAAACGGAAGCAAATAATGACGACGCCATCTATAAATCGTTTGGTATAAAAAGGAAAGAATATCGGCTCGAAAAAGGAAAAAAAAATAATCAAGATTAATTGAACGTATTCAAAAAAGGGAAATTCTTGTTAATTCGTCTTTCACATATCGTCTGTGTGTGTGTGTGTGTGGGGCTGAGATGTGTCGGATTTGTGTCGGGATTAATAAGGTTTAATGGGAATTGGAGTTGTGATTACGCAGAGAGGGGGAGCTTCAGCTTCGCCTAAACAATTGATGGAAACTAATAATATATTATGAATTAGCGCTAATTAAACAATTTAGGGCTCCCATCTAAAATAGTACGAGGAAGAGTGGACAACTGAGGAAGGTGATGTCTGATTGGGTGGGATATTGTGTGGTAAGCCGCACGGAATTTTATGATGAACCCCCACAATGAGTCAAACATAGGGACTCGGTTTGTACGCGGATTTCCCCCCCTTTGACAAATCGCTTACCACACGATGGTGTTATTCCATAATTAGGGCTTGTTTGGCATCCCGAAAAAAAAAAAAAAAAAAAAAAAGAAAAAAACTGCTTCACTATATTTATCACCGATAAATTAATAAAACTCGTTTAAGTAATATTTTTTTATCATATTGAATCGGTGAAAACGTATTAATAATAATTTAATATTTCACTAAATCAATACTCCATTTGTTTCACAATAACTGTCTATTTTTTTCTTGTTCTATGTTATCTGTCACTTTAGATTTCCAATAGTGCATTAAATGCATTTTTTCCTGTTTTTAACCTTATTAATTCACCTATAAGTATCAAATATCTCTTATCACATCATTAAATAATCAAGGTTATTTTAGTCTTTATAATATATTTAACCTAAAATCAAGACATATTTATTGAGTTTCTTAATCCTTGTGCAAAGCCAAAAACGACATTTAATAGGGAACAGATGGAGTAGAATTTTGTTAGTTTCGAGTTTTCGACCAATGTTGTTAGAGTCGGACCGAACCGGTCGGTCTGACTGGTTCGATCGTGACCCGACAATAAAGCGGTCCGGTCTAACATCTAAATCCAGAAAAATCGAAAACGGGGGTCAAATGGCCAAAATCCAGTTCGACAGGGTAAAACCCGAGAACCGACGAGTCAATCAAGGAACCCGGTTTTCGACCAAAACGTCTCGAATTACTTCTGAATTGGTTATTTGTGGCTAGATTTGAGCGAACCTTCACGGACTTAGTAATGGGTGGCCGGATCTAGTCATGTGTGGTCGAAGTATTGTTGGGTACGATCATGGGTGATCGAATCGAGGTGGTCGATTGCCGGATTTGATATAATTAAAAATGGAAAATATAGAGTATAAGCAATAAAATATAGTAAAAAGTAAGTGGGGTAGATAAAAGTGAAAACAATAAGTGAGAGATTAAAAATATAAAGAAAATAATATTTCTAAAACATTAAATTAAAATTAATAAAAGAATGGCATATTAAAAAATCAAAAACCCGGTTGAACCGGTTCAACCCTGTAAACCCATGACCCAAATTGTCGTCCGGTTCCGTAGCCGATCCGATTCTGAAAACATTGGTTTCAACAGTATTAATTTATTTAAAAATTTTTAAATGTATATCAAGTTTTGAAATTAATTACGTCCACATATGTAGCAATTTGTTTTCTTTTCTTTTTTGACATAATCAATCAATAAATATTGGTCAAACTACTCAATTTTTCATCCATCCCACATTATATAAAATATGATTTTATTTTATTTTTTTCTCTCTACTTGCATAACTTGACAATGGGAGTTTGAAATTGATGTTATAAAAATCTGTTTTACAACTTTGATTAGAGATATTTATAATGAAAAATTAGGTTTACTGATTTTATAGTTATTCATTCCAATTTGATGGATAGGTAACGAATTAAAATTTGGATTTGCTGATTTTGAGCTTAAGCTCGAGCTGAAAAATATAGGCTCGTCGAGCTCGAGTCTTGTATAGATGTGGGGAGCTTGAGCTCATGAAACAAGACGAGTTGAGCTCGTTTACACAGCTACTTTCTTTTTAATAGTTTCTACAATATAGTCTAGTACATTTTTATGGACCACATAAACAAACAATTTATTCCTATTTTCTAGTGCACTTTTCTTTACCTTTTACAACCCTTCTAGTGACTACGCTCTACAATTTAATGCATCAAAAAGATCCAACGACTATAAAAAAAAATTAACCTAGAATTCATTTTCCCACCATTTTTTAATAAAAAAATAATTCAACCGGTGACGATATAAAGTTAAAACATTTTTTTCTTTCTAAATTATGTAACTTGGTTAAATTGTTAATTCTAAAAAAAAGAATTTAACTTGAAAATATTGGTTGTGTCATAATTACAAAATGATTAATGACTAATGATCAATTAATGAAATAAATAATGGAACATTCTTTTAAAATATGATTTTATTTTTTCCCTCAATTTATCCAGTTTTTGCTGTCCCATGCACAGTGGTCAACTCTCATGCTTCGGATAAAATCTTACCTATATTATATATTTATTGAACTCTGCAATAAATAAATAATATGGCTTTATTTATTGTCTTATATGTCAAGGGCATGGTAGTTAATCTCGCGATATACCGCGATATATATCGTGATACGGTACGGTTCCAATCAAAACGATACAACTCGGGTTATGTATCGCGTATTGATAAATACCGTTAAATACCGCGAGATATCGTATCGTATCGTCGTATCACGATACGATACGATATTTACGATATTAGTCGACAATTAAAAAAAACGAAAAAAAAAGTAACGCAATCAGCTGCTCTGAAAAATGGATTTGAATAAATTTCTTCAATATCCCAACTTTAATTCACATTTTTCTCTTCAATCTCTTCACCAATCCTTACAATATCGCAACCCTTGTGATTTTAATTTATCCGATTCAAGACCGATTCAAGGCGTTTTTTGATTGGATTTTGCGATTGATAATGATGAAGGCAATCCTTTAAAATTGGTGGATGAGGATGATTTAAGTGAAATTGATCTTTAAAATTATGAGTGATCGAATATTTTTACAAATTAGGTATTCGAATTTGCACTTAGGGCCCATTTCGCTAAAGTTTATTTTAAACAGCTGATAAACTCTTACATCTGATAAACTGTTTTAAGAGTTGATAAGTTGTTACGTTTTATTTTTAGAATTAATTTTTTCAAGTGTTTAGATAATAATCTTATAAGATATTTTTACTCATTATAAGATCTTAACTAAATAGGCGGGGTAAATGTACTTTTTCAAAAACTCCACCAACTTATATTTTGAATTTTAAAGATCTTTTTAATACCTAACACATTGGAAGAGCTTATAAGCTCTTAAACATCTTATAAACCTAGACAAACACCACCTTAGATGATATTATTTGATGAACAATTATATTTTTTATCATATTTTATAATAAGATGTTGAAACTTGAATTTATATCTATTTTGAAATGAGTACTTAAAAATAATAAATTTTATATGTTTATAATATTTTTATAATGTAGATATATATATATTTTTTTACTATTTTAATAGTTGGTTAAATATCTTAAGATACAATACGATAACGATACGGTACGAGATGTGGAGCAAAATGATACGAGATATTTTTACGATCCGATAACCATGGTCAAGGGTTTGACAATCCTTATGCATACTGGGCCATAGTAACCTTATGCATACTGGGCCATAGTAATTCATGACCATATTTAATTAATAAAAAGTGGGCCTAAAATTGAGCCCAAATAACAAGTTAAATACACCTCAATTTGTAATTAAATTGGGGGAATTTACTTCCCATCAGGCACGGTTCATGATTTAGGGTTTTTCTAATTTTAGAATTTCTCACTTCGGCCAATCCCGCTGGGCTGCTATCTTGCGACATTCTTTCATTTTCTTTCTCCTGTGAATATATATCCCAAACAACCTTGTTTGATCAACAAATACTCCAAATTATTATTGTAATAAAACAGAGCTCGGAAAATCTACAATGGTGGAATCGGCGACAGAGATAAAGAAGAAGACAAATTTACCTGCCATACCATGGATGAGAGACCCAGTAGACATTAACCTATCCGAGCCATGTCCCTTGGATTCGCTTCCTTTTCTTGACCCAAGGTTGGTTTTTCTGTTATTTACTTGATGTTTTTACTCTTTTTTTTTTTTTTTTTTTTGTTGTTGTTGATTTAATATAGCTTTGCAATTTTTATTTAAGGAGCGGATTATTGTTAAGTTAAACAATGCATCATGTTGTTTAAGTTGTTTAAGTGTAGTTTAGAGTATTAAAGATTCAATTTTTAATTTTTGTTAGACTAAAGATGGCTCTGCTGCATAATTCGGATATCAAGGATATGGCATCGTTGTTTCCTGTACAAGTAGCAGTTTGGCACGAAACGATCGGGCCGGGTTCTTTTGACAGAGATCTTTGCATAAACTCTCCTACAGGGAGTGGGAAGACTCTTTCTTATGTGTTACCCATTGTGCAAATGCTATCTACTCGTGTAACTAAGTGTCTTCGAGCTCTCGTGGTGTTGCCCACTCGTGATTTGGCCGTGCAGGTAGTATCTTTGCTTTACGTTTTCCGCAATTCGTATTGTATTCATTCACTTCTTGCTTTATGTTTCTACAATTTCGCCTAAACCTATGTTGATAAGTACTGCCTTATTTTTCTTTTCCAGGTCAAGGAAGTATTTGACTATTTGGCCCCTGCTGTCGGTTTGTCAGTGGGTTTAGCGGTTGGTCAATCTTCGATGGCCGATGACATTTCAATGCTCATCAAGAAACCCGAACTAAAGAGTAGCATCTTTTACGACCCTGAATATGTTCGTCCGGAGCCAACAAGTGCAGTGGACATACTTATAGCAACACCAGGAAGGTTGATGGATCACATCGACAATACCGATGGTTTCACACTCGAACATCTCCAATTTCTTGTACGTAATATAACCCCCGTTTTTGTTCTAAATCATCGTTGTAAAGCTGAATTCTTGTTTCTAATTGACTGTGTCACTCACTCTCAGGTTGTCGATGAAACAGATCGTTTATTAAGGGAATCGTATCAATCTTGGCTACCTACTGTTCTTCAATCGGTGTACTCTAATAATCGAAATCAGTTTCCTTTTGCCGACAACATTATTCTTCCTAAATTCGGTTCACTGAAGACCATAAGGAGTTTGTAAGTTTCGGTTATCTTCTCTCGTATTTTTTTTCCTTTAATAGACTTAAATTAAATAATTTCTACTTCTAAAAAACCGTGAACATTGCAATCGATGCAGCGGCGTTGACAGAGGGTTTAAGGGTAAGCCGCACCCGAGACTCGTAAAGATGGTTTTATCGGCCACGTTAACTAAAGATCCAAGTAAGATTGCACAGCTTAATCTTCACCATCCTTTTCTCTTAACCACCGTGCAAAAGCGAGACGAGCCTCCTAAAAGATATTATCTTCCGGAACAGCTGAAATCCTTTAAAGTGGTACGAAACAGATAAATATTCCAGCATACATATCATTTTTCAGCAATTTTAATTTTTTTTTCGTGTAATATATTCGCAGGTGTGCAAATCGAAGCTCAAACCACTTTATCTACTTGCGCTTTTGGAAAGTTTGAAATGGGAGAAATGTATTGTTTTCACATCGTCTGTTGAGTCAACTCACAGGCTGTGTACTTTATTGAATTTCTTTGATGGCCTCCAAATTAAGTTTGAACAGTACTCCCGCTCTCAACCCCAGGCCATAAGAAGGTAAATTAAGACATATTTATTCCGTTTTTTTTTTTTTTTTTTTTTTTTCTCATTTTACTAACGTTGGATGAAATATATGTTGCAGTAAGACGTTGAGGGCATTTAGAGCAGGAAGAATACAAGTACTTATTTGCTCCGATTTAATATCTCGAGGGATGGATGTTAAAGGGGTTAAAATCGTAATAAATTACGATATGCCTGCATTTACTAAGACCTATGTTCATCGAGCTGGTCGAACTGCAAGAGCAGGGCAAGTTGGAAGCTGCTTCACGCTTCTGCGCAACGACGAGGTCTGCCTTTTTTCTCAGTCCAATTTTTTTAAAAGATTATTTTAATTTAGTTTGTATGTATATATAGTTGTTGGTGTGTTTTAATTTTGGAATGTTTGGGATATTTTTTTTGGTTACAGGTTAAGAAATTCAAAAAGCTGTTACAGAAAGCTGGAAATGAATCATGTCCCGATTATTGCGTTCCATCCGAATCTGTAGAGTCATTTCGTCTTACTTACAATACAGGTAAAACAATACACACACACACACACACACACACATATATATGTATATATACATAGAATCTCGGACTCATGATTTATTTTGGTTCAGCTTTGGAGAGATTGAAAGAGAGTATTGAATCGGGGAAAATACAGAGAAGGCAAGGCGGAAAGAAAGAGAAAAAAGCGCTTGAAGAAACTGCATGATGTTTTTTTAACATTTTTTCCCATATAATTTTTTTTTCTTCGTTTTTTAGTTCTAACAGATGAAATGGCTGAATCTCCATTTTTCCACTGTCAGTTGATTTGCAAGTTTTTGCTAATTGACTGCGTAATCTTGCCGGAATTATGTGGAGAAAAATAGAGATATTGTTATGTTTCATTTTTGGTTCTACTAATTTATAATTTAAAGCGGTTTGCTTCCATTTACAAGTATATATATAACTTGCTTATTTATATATTTTTGGGTATATATGAAATCTTGTAAATATATAACTTTTTTAGAGTTGGTAAATAATCAGGTAACTCGTTTGGTTGGGGAGATTAACCATTATTAACTAAATAATTGGACTTTGTTTGATGTTGGTATTGTCAATGGCTTACTGGGTTCAATACCACACCTACTGAATTTTTCTGTGCAAGACCCTATTAATAGTGCAAGACTTGTGATATAATTTAAACCAAAATAGAGTCATAAACGAAGACACGACAATCGGGGGGCAAAAAAGGAAGGCACGAAAAAGTGTTGGGGAAATGTGAATTCAGTGAACATCCTCTTCAGCTCTACGATACCAAAGCAGCTGCAGCATCTGTATCTTCATCTGCATTCTGCGTTTCTAACCGAGGGCGTTTCAAGGCTGCAAGAAGAAACACAGTGTACTTATGTAACCATTGAACAAATTCATAATGAATTATGATTAACGATAAACCAAATCGGAACTTAATATTCGCATTACAACGATATGACCATAACAACTTTACATAATTCACACAAAGGAATGACTGAGAAACAAGAGACTTCATATCTCTCTTGCAGTTTTGCTCACTATTCATTCATCATTTATATGGCATAAAGATTGTTTGAACTTTCTAGATAGTTTTTAAAATATTGTTTCTTTAAAATACTTCACATAAAAACTGGAGGTGGTGTTAATATCCACACAATTTTGAAAACTTTTACGTAACACAGATACGAAGATTGACCATTGCAACACTACGGACAAAACATATGACAAATCCAGAGACTCTAGCTAAACTAAAACCTCCAAATTATAAACAAAATGCAGACTCACATTTAATAGATGATCCAGCAAGGCAAGTGAGTCGCGATTTGGTATTGGCCTCGGCTAAAGGGTTTGTCTTTCCTTTACCAGCCATGCGCACATCCCAAACGCGTATTACCCCATCGGATGATGCAGATGCCACCAAATAAGGATCCTCCCCTGAATTATCACTGTTCTTCGATAAAACTACAATGCCTTTGAGCCGAGCTGGGTGAGCATCTTCAATAGTATATGCCACTTTCCCACTCACTGTGTCCCAAGCAGTAAGATTTTTATCCTCTCCACCTGTAAACAAAATTCCATTCTGCCAAAAGAAATCCCCGAAAAAAAATCAGCATAAAAAAAATCCGTTCTTGATTTTAATTTTGGCTATTAATTCACAAGCAAATATGATCCAATTGAAAAACTGAGATAGATAGACAACTCACATTGCCAGGGGCAGCACAGAGGATTCTCTTCTTATTATCCAGCTCGAAGATTAATTTGGCGTCCTCCGATTCGTGTACACCGATTTTCTCATCGACTACCATGAAGAATCTTTCACCAGTTCCGTCGAACTGCACGATTGATGCTTCTTTACTCAACTTGCAGTAAAAACTCCGCCTGCCTCTGATCAAATTGACCATGGCCAAGCAATCGTCATGGCCGACAGTCAACGCTAACTTCCCCGACGGGTGCACGGAAATCGAATTGACGGACTTTTTGTGGATTTTGACGGACTTGAGAAGCACGAACGGGTCGGCGTCGTAGATTGAGAGCGAACCCTCGGCGTCGGCGGCGATGAGGTTGCGGGGGAAGGAGGAGAGGGCGGGAGGGGAGTACAAGGCGAGGGAGGTGATTGAGGAGGTATGGTAGAGGGATCCGATCTCGGCGGATGAAGAGAGGTCGTAGATTTTGATTGTGTCGTCGTTTCCGCCGGAGACGGCGACGGAACCGGCGACGGCGACGGTTTTGATTGTAGAGAGATGGGACGGAAAGGAGAATAGTGGGCTTAGGGTTAGGGTATCGGGGTTTTTACGTGATTTTAATTTGTAGCCCCAAATGAACCGCTCGTATGATCCTGCAACCAAACTCATCTTTCCAAAAATTTCTGTTTAGCAGAGGTAGAAGAAACAATGGCGGAGGAGCAAGGGTTTAACAGTGAGGAAACCCTTGACGAGGGTAATATTGGAAAAGAAAACCCCTCCCGCTCTATTTAAGACATTTTTGTTTTGTTTAGGGGGCCCCAAAATAATTAAAATCCAACAGGCCCATCTTCAATTTAATTTCTTATTGGGCCCAATTATTATTTTTAATGTACATATTAGTACTAAATAAATAACAAAAATAAATTAGAATCTCTTCTTCTTCTCCAAAAAGTAACTTTGTTCAGTATTTTCTGGTGTCGATCTTCAATTTCATAAAACCTAAATTTACATGTTGTTGAAGACAATTATCCCTCACATCGCAAATCTCGATTTCGGAATCCGCCCTTTTCTTAGTGTTGGTAGACTAATTTCACCCCTCACGGCGGCGCCGCCGAGAAATGGGTGAACTCCAAATCCAACACCCCTTCTCTCTTCCACCACCGCCGCTCCCCCCTCTTCCGCAGCCGTCCTCATCGCGCGACGATCCCGCCACTCGGCCGTCCTCATCGCCTGAAGGCCGTCCTCCTCCGCCACCCCTTCCTTTCGACCCCAGCCGAAGTAACCCTCTCTCTCCCTTTTTGTGTGTTGCGTGTGTTTCTTCAATTTTTGTACTATCGTGAACGATCTATCCGTATCCGTATATGATTAATTCTTTGAATTGTGATTATGGGCTTCGGAATTTATATGTGTAATTTCCCATGGCATTCACATTGGCGATTGACCTTGTTCATAGCTTTATTTTTGCCCTTTTATCTATACTGAATATCTGGATGGATTTTGAGAAAGATATGGATTGGGATAATTTCATGCTACTGCTGATTTCTACATGTGTTGAGCTCATATATTTTAGAGAATTATAATTAAATTGTATCTTATGAGACGAAACCTTTTTTGTCGATTCAAGTGATCGGCATCATCAGAAGGAAGGCATTGATCAAAGAATTGGCAGCTTCATACCATGCAGAGTGCCTCACTTACTGCCAAGAACTTTTGGAACTTCAGAAAAAAATAGACGAGGTATTTAGCACTGTGATGCGTTTTATTAACAAATTGATATTCAGATGTTTGCTCGTTGAATATGTCCGCTGGAATATGTGATCGTTTTATGATTTGGTTGTCTACCAACTATTTGTTAGTTTGTCTTAAACAGATTGGGATTTTGACATATGCATACAAAATTTTGACTTTGATTGTCTTATGTAGCAATGTGGCGATGCTCGTTTGTTAGTCTATGTTTTTATATGAAGAAAATGAATCATCTAAAGGATGGCCTATGATCCCCGATACATTTTCGACACATAATAGAGTAATGATGGTAGATTCCTTTGACTGGGAGAGATAGAGACCAAATTTTATATTGTTAATCCTGTTACTAACACTCTTATTTCTGCTATTCTGTTTGATGGTATTGTCTGAATCAACTAGCTATTATCCCCTGTGAGGAATTTAATTGCTCGTTGGTTTCTTATTTTAGGAGGTCTGAAAATGAAAATTTTCACTTTCTTCTTCATGTCGACTTTGACTGTTTTGGGTTTTTGAAATTTGTAAAGGGTCAATTTGATGATTATAGATATATTTTCTATTTGTAAAATCTACATATTCATCTTCCCATTTCCATCATTTTTCTTCTCTGTTTTGCTCAATGCACTGAGGTAAATTTTATAGCTGTATGATAAAGGTGTATAGGATGTAACGGGTTTCAGGTTGGTTGTTAATGACATCGGGACAGAATTGAAATAAAAAAATGTGATACCAATAGCATGCTTAACACTTGTCTTTATGTGTGTGGAAGCTCTTGTATTTGTTTTCACAATTTTCATCATTTTTTCGACTGATCGAATCCGCCATATTTATGATTTGGTTTATACAACCTATTACCAATCGGTCTACTTTTAATCCAGATTTTACATTTACGAAACATTTTGCTGTATATAATTTTCATCTGATTTCTTGCATGATAAGTGATGCTTTGATTGAGTAATTAACCGATTCTTGAAATAATACAGCAGCCGTTTACGGACATAAAACCGGCAGATGAGCCAAGAAAAGAAATGCTGAGATCGAGACCCTCCAAACGTGTGAAGAAGTCCCGCTAGGTGTCACTGCTGATTTTAGATCTGCCTCTTATTCACCTATTATCTTTTGAATATATATATTAAAAGTGTATATGTATTCAACAGCTTCATACTTCCTCATTTTGCTACATATGATTAAGTTTATGTGAATGATTGTGTTTAGTCAGTTATATCGAGCATGGAAACCATGTCTTCGTGATGAAATCCTTGTAATGCTCGACTCCCGCGTATAAGAATTTGTGCGATACTAGATTGATCTGTACCATAATTTGTGCTATTTGTATACATTCTTTGTAAATCTACCGGTTAAAATGGTGTAGGTTATTCCAATTGTTTGATGGTCGGGGTGGAAATTGGAATAGGGCTGATTCCTATGCGAATTTTTCCAATTTTAGAACATTACTTTTCATTCCAAATTCCAAAATTCCGAGTTTTGTTTTTTCCGATTTTTTTGGATTGGAATTGGAAGAAATTTGAGATTCTGAATTTCAATTTCCGAGAAACATCCTAAGATTCCGATTGTTTTCTGAAATTCCCACTTCTATTATTTATACTATTATTATGTATTTTGGGTGACTAAAAAACTGAAAATTTTCGATCTTCGTTGACCCCAATTCAAAAAGGGTTAATAAGATATAACCCCCTCATTAGAAAAAATATTAGGACTAACCATCTTACAATATTTTTAATGGGTCAAACCCCCTCAGAAATGTCAATTACTAAACTAACCCTATAATTTGTAATAGCGAAGACCCCCCACCGTTTTCCCCAAATACAGCATATCTTCAACCATATTCTTCAATATAATTTCTCCCCCATTTCCGTTGGTCTGCTATATTTATGCCGATAAATTCTCCCAAAAAACAAACTGCAATATATATCGGATATTTTCCCCTTTCAAACATTGCCCTAGTTTGCTACATCTTCAGCGAAAAATAAAAACCAGAATACCATTATATTGTGCAATTCGTTCAGCAACACAGGTTGACAAAAATGGTGAAGAACGGGAAGAAGAAGACAGGTAGTTTGCTATATACCCATCTCTACCACCTAATTTCTGTTTTTGACACCTTCTTCAGCGACTCCGAAGGACAAAATCAAGGTCTCCTACAGAAACGGTATACATCGGTACGCGACGACCATATGCGACGGTTCGGATGTCTTCCATGGTTGATTACTCAAAAATGGAGTTTGTAAACACGATTGTTTTTTAAATCTACAGATCTATGGTCGCACTATTTGTTGACTCATAAAATATTTGTTTTCCTATGAAATTTGTTTTATCAGAGTCCAAAACAAACAAAAGATCAGTATAAAAATCGGTAGTTCACTATATTTTTCCCGAAGTCAACTATAAAAATCGGTAGTTCACTATATTTTTCCCGAAGTCAACTATAAAAATTAGATAGTCAACTATAATTTTTACGATGTCAACTATAAAAAATGGTAGTTAACTATATTTTTGCCAGAGTCAACTACAAAAATTAGATAGTCAACTATAATTGTTCAAATGTCAACTATAGAAAAATTGGTAGTCAACTATAATTTTTCCATTAATTTACCATATTATTTTTCAATTTAAGATACTATGATATTATAAAATTGAATACTCATGATAAAGATCCCATCTTCATGAAAATATAAATTTCGTAGAGTAGAAAATAAAATGATTTCAAGGACCAAAAAATGAGATATAGAAGAAAAGGTACAATAATGAGCAGAAATAGTGGGAAAAAAATGAAACAGAAACAGACGAGAAAAGAGGAATTGAGGGAAGAGAAAGAAGAGAGGGAGAAGAGAGAGGGAGAAGAGAGAGGGAGAAAAAGAAAAAAAAAAGATACGGGGAAAGAGAAAATTGGGGAGGAGAGAGAAGAGAGAGAAGATAAGAGAGAGGAGAGAGAGAAAAATAAGAAGAGAGAGAGAGAGAGAGAGAGAGAAAAGAAGAAAAGAAAAAGATACGGGAAAAGATTAAATTGGGGAGGAGAGAGAAAAGAGAGAAGGGAAGGAAGAGAGAGAAGATGGGAGAGAGGAGAGAGAGAAATAAGAAGAATAAAAGAACACGTTAAAAAATTGAGGAAAATAAGGAAGAGAGAGAAATTAATGGAGATATAAAATGAGAAATAAGGAGAAAAGAGAGAAAGTTGGAGATAAATATGGACAAAAAAGGGCATAATGGGCATTAACATAAGCTTAGGGGGTCACACAATTCAGAAAATATTAAATGGATTTGTCTACAAATGGTCAATTATAAATTGGGCCTATACTATATTATTTTACCTAATGAGGGGGTTATCCCTCATTTTCCCATTCAAAAAAGTTCGATTTTGAACCAAGTTTTTTTCATTCCAATTTTCAATATTCTGACTTTTGAACTTTACGATCTTTATAATTTAATAATTTTTTTCTAAAAGTGCTAATCCCAATCCGATCAGGCCGATTTCCTCTCGTGTTTGATAGAGGGAAGATTTGTCTAACTTTGCTAAAATGCTCTTTTGTGGCAACATATATCTTCATCCTAATTTACAGCGGTTTTCGTTACTTTTTTTTCTTTTTCCCTTTTGTATTGTGCTGTTAAATGGTGAAAAAATCATGGTCAAATGTGCATATGTCATCTGATCTCTGTGGATCAGAACTTGAAGAATACAAATGAAATTGAAATTAATAAAAGTAAAAGAAAAATGTGTGTCATAATTATCTATGAGATAATCGTTGATTGCGTGTCATTTTCCTGGGTTGTACTAATTAGTGCTGAATCCCACTGTCCCAGTTGTCTGTCGGATATTTAATTTTCCTTTTTAGTCTAGTAGTAATAAATCAAGGCCCTGTTTGGCATTATTTAATTTCAATTTCATATAATTTGATATTATTGAAAAATAAAAATTGATTTTTTTTCTTTTTTTTGAAAAATATAAAAATTGAATTTTCTTCATCCTAATTCTACAACCAGAGACCACACCTATCTCATGTATGTATGCATGCATGCCTCATGTGACAATAAACAATTTCCATAAAATAAAACATTGTAATAAAATAATTTGTCCAGTTAATTTCCATAATCAAAATCAACATAACAATCAGTGAAATAAAATAATATATAATATCGCACAAAACCATAATTATATTAATTAATATAAGCTGATGTCATAACAATGGAGAACAGAATCATAGATTCAGTCCCACAATATACATAATTAAAACTAAAGTTAGGGTTAATAATTTAATAATATTATTTGGAAAATTAAATATGTAATAATTATTAATAAGCGTAAAATTAAAGCCAGAGTGCTCCGGCGTCTTTGAGCAGAGGGACGAGAGTGCCGTTGATGTGGCAGGCCATAACTGTTTCGATGCCGCCCAAAAACTTTCCTCCGACGAACACCGCCGGCACCACCTGCTGCCGCGGCTTGCCTCCGCCGCCGGACAATCGGACGAGGAGTGCGTGGATATCGCTGCCGGAGGCGCAGCGGTCGAGCTCCACGACGGTGGGGCCTACGCCCAGACCGAAGAGGAGCTGCTTCACCACGTGGCACATGCAGCAGCCGCTTATAGTGAACACGACCACCGCGTTGCCGGAGACCAGAACGCTCACCTTCTCGTACGCCGCCTGCATATTCATCGCCGGCGTCTCTCCTCCGCCGCCGTCCACCCTGACAGCTACCACCGGTAAGTCCTTCGCCACCTGCATTTTGTACAATTCTTCGTCTAATTTAACTTGCACTGAGAGAAATGAAAATTGCCGAATTAATTTAGGGAGGGGAATTAAATTAAATAGTTAGAGGAAAGAAGAGTCTCATGAAAAACCATACGATAACTAACTAGGGTTTACATTGCATATATATATAAGCATCACCGATATGAGAGAGAGAGAGAGAGAGAGAGAGGGGCGTAGGTGTACTGGTAGCAGGCAAAATGTCTGGCGGCCAGATTTCTCATGCTTTCTGCATTCGATTTATCGTCCTTTTACGGATAAGTCTAAAAGGAATTAAATCACCTTTTTTTTTTGTATTATTATTATTTTTTAAGATAAATTACAAGGAAATTAATGACTTGAAATATCTCTAACTGTAAATCCACCACGACGGAACTCTTTGGTTAATTACAATATTCTGATAGTCTTTTCAGCAATTTATATACCACTCTTTGCAATTTTGAATTTAAAATAAAAAATAAGGATTAAGATATGTATAATTCAAAACAAATTGATATTAGATATACGCTATATATTATTGTAAATTGGTGAATTAAGTAAGCCTCATGACTCACTGAGTCACTGGAAATAAATATAAATAAAAAAATTAAAAAATGGGGGAGGAGTTAATTAATTATAGGCGTGATGCGCGTGCCATATGTTGTTTGGTGTATGTGTGCCATGTTCTTCTACGGTCTAATGAAAAAGTGGGACCATTAATTAGTCCAAGGTACTACCAGTATCAAAACAGAAAAATTATTTGCAGTTAGACCCACCAGAATTACGTGATACAGATCACTACATGTATATGTATACTGTATATATCTAGAGAGAGAAAGAGACTGAGTGATGGGGAAGAGAGAGAGAGAGAGAGAGAGGAATCGCGGAGGTACAAGCGTTAGCTCACACCGGTAGAGAGAGAGAGTAGAGAGTAGAGAGAGAGAGAGAGGAAATCGGGGTTGTATAACAGCTTTAACAGGAGGCGTGATTGGGCATGAGCATCATCCATCCCACCGTACGGTGAAAATACTTGGCTGACACAGATTAATTAATTAATTAGCTTCCCTCTCTCTCTATATATATATATATATAGGGTTTGTTATAATGGCCGTGAATTGTTGTTAAAAGAAGAAAAAGGAAAGCACCGACAAGCCGACAAGCAAACGCCTTAGGCGCCGTCGTTTTGACGGTCAGGAAAAACACAAGTTCTTTGAATGCATTTCGTCGGGTTTTGCCACTTTCCCCAGACACCACGACGACATCATCGACAGTGACGCCGTCTGATTTCTGTACCCCCAAAATTAAATATTTTCTTTTTTGCCAAAAATCCGTCAGATAATCTTCCTTTTTCTGTTACTTTTTCCATGCTGCTTTTTAACCTCTTCGCAGATTTCTTTCTATTTCCGTTATTTATTTATTAATTTTAAATTGATAAAAAATACTCTGAGGCCCAATATACATACAAAAGGCCCAATATGTATCCAAGATCCTACCCGGCTTGCAGCCCATATAATTTGTCATGAATATTTTTCCAATATGGATCCAAAACCCTGCCCAGCTTGCGGCCCGTATAATTCCGGTATGCGAAAATGGGGAAAAATTACAGTTTTCATCCATTAAGTTTGGACCGATTCCACATTTGGTCATTTATGTTCACAAAAAACACATTTGGTCCCTCATGTTTCAATAATTTAATGTTTTTGGTCATTTTGGTCGATTTACCATTAGTCTGTCAGTAAAGCCATTGACGGGCATACGATCGATTCCGTTAGTTTTAACGGAAAATTGACGGAAATGGCTAAAAGTTTTGAATTTTTGATACATGAGGGACCAAATGTGTTTTTTATGAATATGAGGGACAAAATGTGAAATTAATGCTAACGTGAGGACGAAAACTGTATTTTTCCTTCGAAAACGGCATAACATATCACGGTGATGTCTTGGATTTATTGAAATAAAGACTATAAATATAATATAAAGTGGCTTATTCGGTTACCCATTCATTGCACCAACTTGACATGTCACATTACATATGTATATATATGTAGTCTAATATTTCTTTTTAAATTTTATTTTCTTAAATTGGGGATCTATCTATATATTACCTCTTCCCATACGTTGCTATAAATTGTCCTTTCAATTCTCATTCTTCACTCAATAGTCTGCATTTATCTATATATATCAGAAACAATATTTCAGAACATTTCTTTAATTTATGTTTACATCACTTCATCTCTCTAGATATATTATAGTGATATATGAATAAATAGGAAATAATAATAAGTAATGGAAGGAGGAGGTATACACAGCACTGAAGGAGGTGATAGCACAGCTTTCAAAGAGTGCTTGTCTCTATCATGGAAGAACCCTTTCGTTCTCCGTCTTGCTTTCTCTGCCGGCATCGGTGGTCTCCTTTTCGGCTACGACACAGGTTCCCCTGTTCCCAGTTTATCATCCTCGATCGTTATACTATGTATGTACGTATGTATGTATGCATGTATGTATGTATATATTCCTCATCATTTGCACTTGTGTGTGTGCAGGGGTGATATCAGGTGCCCTTCTGTATATTAGAGATGACTTCAATTCTGTAGACAGGAAAACTGTATTGCAGGTTAGTGAAATAATTAGCATGCCAATTATATTGAATTCTTCAATATGATCACGAGTTTATTTAATTAGGTAAAACTAAAACGTCCATTGGTTTCACTAATCCTATCAGCATTGTTAATTAAACATTTATTTCTAATTTATAAGCAATTATTTTAATAATCAAAATAGGAGAGCATAGTGAGCATGGCGGTAGCAGGAGCAATCATAGGTTCCGCTATAGGGGGCTGGTTAAATGACAGATACGGAAGGCGAACAGCTATCCTAGTTGCCGATTTCCTCTTCTTCATCGGAGCAGTTCTAATGGCTTCCGCCCCAAATCCATCCGTTCTAATCTCCGGCAGAGTTTTCGTCGGCATAGGTGTCGGAATGGCCTCCATGACTTCTCCACTCTACATCTCCGAAGCTTCTCCCGCCAAAATCCGAGGTGCCCTTGTCAGCACCAATGGCTTTCTCACCACTGCCGGCCAATTCCTCTCTTACCTCATCAACTTAGCTTTCACCAAGGTAGTACTAAAAACCAATTACCATCTTTTAAGGTTGTCCGGAAAATTCATCAAGGTGTTTGAATTGGGAAAAAAAAAACGAATTTTCAGGCACCAGGTACGTGGCGGTGGATGCTGGGAGTTGCCGGAGTGCCGGCCCTACTACAGTTCATACTTATGCTTCTCCTTCCAGAATCGCCACGTTGGCTTTATATAAAGGTTTTAATCTTAATCTAAATAGTAAATTTAACAGTTTAGATTGAATTTCTTGAGTTAATAAAAGACTATTAACTCAATGTGGATGATAAAATTTGAACAGGGCAGAGAAGAAGAAGCAGAGGCAATACTGAGAAAGATATACCCGCCACAAGAAGTTGAAGAAGAAATACAATCCCTGAAGGAATCAACCGAAAAAGATTCCCTCGAGAAAGATTCCTCGGAGAAAATCAACTTTCTGAAGCTACTTCAAACGAAAGCAATTAGAAGGGGGCTCATAGCTGGAGTAGGTCTCCAAATCTTCCAGCAGTTTGTGGGCATAAACACCGTTATGTACTACAGCCCCACCATAGTCCAGCTGGCAGGTTTTGCATCAAACCAAACGGCACTTCTGTTATCCCTCGTAACAGCTGGACTAAACGCCTTCGGCTCCATTGTAAGCATATACTTCATAGACAGAACAGGACGAAAGAAGCTTCTAGTGATCAGCTTATGTGGAGTCGCAGTCTCCCTCGGGGTTTTATCAGCTGTGTTTCACGAAACTGCCTCGCACGCACCTGGGGTGAGTGCAATCGAAACATCTCGATTCGCACCGTACACCTGTCCTGACTACCGTTCGGTGGGACCCTCACCTGATGGTTGGGATTGCACCAAGTGCTTGAAAGCTTCTTCTCCCGGCTGTGGCTTCTGTTCATCATCGACAAAGAACAAGGTACAAAAGGTACAGCACACAATCTATTTGAATTATTTGTTATAAAACCCCTCGATTTACCGTCTGCAGCTGCTTCCTGGAGCATGTCTGATTTCAAACAACACGGTTAAGGAAGTTTGTCATGGAGAAGACAGGGAGTGGTACACAAGGGGGTGCCCTAGCAGTTTTGGATGGGGAGCACTGATTGGGCTAGCACTATATATCTTATTTTTCTCACCTGGAATGGGAACAGTTCCATGGATTGTGAATTCCGAGATATACCCTCTGCGTTTACGTGGGGTATGTGGAGGCATAGCTGCCACAGCTAACTGGATATCGAACCTGATTGTGGCACAGTCTTTTCTATCTTTGACAGAAGCAATCGGCACTTCTTCGACTTTTCTCATATTCGGAGTCATTTCTGTTGTCGCTCTGTTTTTTGTTCTTGTTTGTGTGCCTGAAACAAAGGGACTTCCGTTCGAAGAAGTGGAGAACATGCTGGAGGGGAGAGCTTTGCAGTTCAAATTTTGGAAGAGATAGACTATGTATTTCTGAGAGGTTTTCCTGACGTTTTTATTGAATAAAATATCTAGCTTCTTCGTAAATCGTACACACGTAACATCTTAAAAACACATTCTACAAGAACTAGATCATTCAAGTCTCAAGACCAAAGCAAAGACTTGTAAAAACGAGGACAACAGAATTACACAAGTTTTGTTTTGAACATAATAAACGATTTGACAAAAACAAATACCTAGGCAATATGCTCAGCAAGACTGAGAATCTTGAGATGCTTCTTCCTCCTGAGTTCGTGAGGAACAGGGCCGAAAACTCTGGTTCCGATTGGCTCGCCTTGCTTATTGATAAGCACAACAGCATTGTCGTCGAACTTGACTTCACTCCCGTCACACCGACCCTTTTGCATTGCAGCACGAACCACAACGGCGTAGCAAACATCTCCCTTCTTCACTTTACCTCCCATGTGTGCTTCCTTAACCGATGCAACTATAGTGTCACCCAATCTAGCTCCTTTATCTCCCTTCAATGCTTGTATGCACATCACTCTTTTTGCACCAGAGTTGTCCACCACTTTCAGATTGGTCCGCATCTGTATGAATGTTCTCGTTTGCTATACAAAAAACCCCAATTTCCACATTCAAACAATCTCGTGATACTAGCAAAATAACATTTTTTTTCCAACGAAAGCAATGCATTCTAACGAAAGGTAATACTCTTGCAGAGAGAACCAAGGAAAGTATATACTAACTTGAGATAAGAAATCCAGACGTGCCAGCTCGGAAGATGGCCTGCTTCCAGCAAAAGCATTGTTGCTAAGACCACCTAGAAGTGAACGACCAACTGACGATTCGTACAAGATTCAGAGCAAACATTAGTTATTGAAGATTACCATCATTTTATACAAATAATCATTCATCGTGCAAAATATATTTGAATGATGCCTGCATATGTCCAAACTAAATCAATGCTTCTGAAATGCAGCAATTTATATCCAACATATTGAAGAGAAACGAAAACGGATGTAAAATTCGAGCCTAGCAAGCAGTGAACATTCAATTAATCTTCGATAAATATAAAATTTTAACATGGTTCTAATAGCTTTATGAAAGAGGCGATTTGTTCTTCTCTTACAACTTTTCTAGTCCAAAAATATCATAACTGCTACAGTACCCAGGTGAATTCTTATTCCCAATTGGATACAAAAACAGATCGAAAAAGAGTCCATTTTTTCTCGAAGAAATGTAAAATTGATAAGAGAAAAACAGAAGGGGAAAAAGGAAATTGATCAAGTCGAAAAGAGTGAAGGAAGAGTACATACCACGAAACAATTTAGAAGAAGAATTTGAAGCAGCCATTCTCAACAATAATCTGGAGAACTGAAATGAAAACTCGATTCAGCTTTCCTGCTAATTTCAATTAAATGCAGAAAAAAATATAGGTCACCGTCTATAATCACTCAAATTATGTACATTTAATTACATCATAAAAAGGTGCGGGTAAAGTGTACATACGAAGTCTGTGTCCGGTGAGGGTGGCGGAGGTGGCTGGATGATGGCGGCGGAGGTGGCTTGCCGGACGACGGGGGTTTTGGGTGAGATGTGAGAGCTAACACTGGTTCGAACTCGTCTGGGCTTGATTACCTAAATTAATATGGGCTTACAAAATAAATAAATTCAAAAAAAAATACTGATGTTAACTAAACCATGTTGCTTCGGGCCGGGTTACGGCCCAAGTTTTAATATGGGCTTAACAAATCAAAAGTTGTTTTGTTGAATTAGATGTTGTTTGCAACATAATTATAAAAAAAACTGTATATTTCACTGAAATTTAATATCTTATTAATTATTTTAATAATCGAACTCGAGTCGAGCTTTTTAATTTATCAAACTAAAATATGTGATCAAGTTTGATTCATTATGTCAGCAAATCGAGCTCGAATGAAGTTCCTCTAACAAGCGATTTTGAATCGAATATCGAGTGGCTCGATTTTATTTTAAGCCCTGGACATATCTCAATTTTTATCTGTTTTTATTGTCTAGAGGAAATTAATGAAATAAAGGGACCATCGCAATTATGAATCAGGCAAACTAGAAAACACGTTCAAAAGTATGCATTTTGGCCTTCCTTATTCATTTAAACCCTGGGAAATAAATAATTGTAGACAACTGGAATATTAATTGAGATGCAGCAAAAATATAACAAAATAATTTTGTACCAAACAACATAATTTAATAATCCCATTGAATGGAAATAAAAATTAGTTACATGGCATGATAAATTAATCAGTTACCAGTTTTAATGGATGTTGGTCAATCAAAACCTATTTAATAAAGTCAATAATTCATAATTTCATAGTACCTTTTTTTGAACAAAATAGTCCAAAAGAGTGAAGGGGGGAAAGGATAAAGGGGTTAAAAGGAGGGGTGGTAATGTAGAAAGATAAAAAAGAAGTAAGGGGCAGTAATGTAATTATGAATAATGGAGAGAGAGTACACGAAGACCGCGACACGTGCAGTGTAAGGTCATCGAGAAGTCAGCTCCCAATGCCTTGAAGCTGGCTGTCCTTTTCAGACACGGACACGTGCCCATGCCCCCTTTTCTTTTTCTCCATTTATATATTTTTTTTAAATAATAATAAAAGAAGTAAAATATTAAATATCTCTTTCATTTTGCTCCCCTGACCCGCTCTATATGCAAAGGGTCACATTTTGAATATTTTTCCTCTATTAACTATTTTTAAAGTATGTAAAATATTTAACTACATGTTTAACGTATTATAAATATTCATAATAAAGCAGAAAAATGTACACGTGGCATTTGAGACCTTTTAGAGGCACACAGCCAACATGGCTGCCCTCTTGAAAAGCTGTACTCTCTACATCAATGCTTTTTTAACAGCTTTTTTCCCATCATTCCCTTTTTTTTTTTAATTATTTATTGTTGGTATAATTAATAACAATATGCTTAAACGAAAATACTTAATTGTTTGTCGAAAAGAGAAATTGTGAAAAACACAAAGAACGATCGAGGCTTGCCAAAGCAATTCCCTTAAGACTATTTTCGGGTTGTCAACGGTGCGCAGTCTCTTCCCGGTAGTCTCCCAAGATACAACAATCGGTTGTCAAATATTTTCACGAATATTCGACCCACGGCGAACTTGAACAACGAATGAAACTTTGACGAAGGAAAGAAGAGTACGAAGAACTGTCTCGTAATTGCCGATTAAATTTCGTACAAAATTGACCAGATTCTGCCTTTATTTATAGGTGGTAGAGATCCATTCACAGTGGGTTGCAATGGTTAAAAGAAGAAACAGAAAGGTGTGTCTGTTTCTTTCATGGAGTTCAAGCGTAGGAAAATTAATTGGTCATTGACCAATTAATTAAGTAATTTGGTTTGGGCCTAATATTTTATTATTTAGATTTTGGGTCAAATAATTTGACTAACTACTAAATGTCTCCAAAAATAATATTTGTGGACGCATAAACTCAAACTAGTCCTATCATTCGATAACATCGAGCGCACATCTTTTGAACTTTAACCATTTACTCAAGACAATTTCCATTCACTTTACTTCATGATTATAATCAAGTAAATAAATGAAATTAATCATTACATAATTTAATTAATATTCCTCAATATTAATTATTGAAAATTATAAAAACTCCAACAATTATAATATACAATTATTTTTCTGGAACAAAATAGATAAATATAGTAGTAATAAATTATAGAATGTAGTAATATAATATGTGAAATTAATAGTTGGCTTCATTTTAACCGGCAAGTTGACTCAGCGTCTCAGCCTAGTGTTGCGCGAACACACCTTAACTAAGTTGGTGCTAAATATATCACAATCTTTTTTAAATAAATTTAATTTAATTTATTTTTTTGTATATTGTTTTTCAGTATGTTGTGCTGGGGGACAATAACATGATTTGGATAAGAATCATAGTACAACACACCCATTTTTCATTTTTTTTTTTGTTTATTAAATTATATTATTATATATGCGATCCACTTTGTAATATATCGTGCCTGCCCGTTTAGGATTTATTTATTATGGATTTATAAATTGGAGACAAAAAATTAATAATGTGGTCCAATTTTAATTATTAATTAGGGTGAAAGCAATAGTTCCGTTCAGCTGCTGCAAAGATTTTAATGTCTGGTGCAAATTTATTCCGCCACCCTCCTCAGGTGGGGTGCGCGTGGACTTATATGCAAATTTTAAGAAATTATGTTCTATCATATAATTTTTCATTATTATAAATTCGCTGTTTTATCCAATAAAATAAAGAATTATACCACTAACTTTTATTGATTATAAATATAAAATAAAAAGACCAATAATGTGTCCTAACTCAAGTTGCTGCTTAGTGGCCCAATAATGGAAATAATATTATTTTACTTGTACGGACAATCTTAATTTATTTAACTATCACATTAAACTATAATTAACTATCCTTAAAAGCCCTTTTTGTAGGATTTATGAATTGAAAAGAAAATTAATTAAGTAGCTTTGTGTGTGGGAGAATGAGTGAGCAAACTTGTCAATTATACTTTTACTTTCTACTCCACTTTGGGGAACTTAATTATTTTCTATACTAATTGCCCACTTCTCATTTCTTTATGGGCCGAATCATTAATTGTTTTTAATAGGCCGACCCGATCAAATATGGGCGACCCGGTCTGTAGATGAACAAGAAGAATAATTAGTGTTAAATATTTATTATTAATGGAGATCCTGTAGTCTGATCCAGCAGATTACGTCTAATGATATATTATGACAAGTAACGTGTGAATTTAATATTAATCTGCTAAACTATATATATAATTGTTTAATTTCTGTATGAATTGAAATCTTGATTATATCAACATTAGGGATAATAATATGAGTACCATGCCTCACATGTTATACCAAACATTGCAAATAACAATTTCAACAGATATTGAGAAGTTAATAATTGTAGAGTTTGTACTCTAGCTATTTTTCAACTTAGGTTAACCATTGTTCAACAAAATTCTCTATAATTAATTTAGCTCCTGATTTTAGAAATGTGATTTGATTTGGACCTAAGTCACACTTGGACATTGGACCTAGGCGATTTAATTTGGACATAAGTCATTGATCAAGTTAAATCGGTTTTTTGGATTAGGCTTTTGAGCTTTAACAAAATCAAAGAGAGAAAAGATCTGGACTTGGGCCGGACTCAGCACTGCGACAACAAAGTCAATAATTTTCTTTAACAAGAATTCTCACGTTTAATTACAAGCTATCCATCGTCTCGTTTAATTATGTAGCCAACCATCATCTCTTCAAAGGAAGCTAACCGTTTCTTAACTCGTTTGCATGTAATCCTTTTGGAGGTTTCTCGAATATGGCAACCGCGCTTGTGAGGTTGCCTTCTTTTTTGGGCTTTTATTGGGCCAGCCAGTTTGAATCGATCCGGATCAGTCGGACCATTATTTTCCATATAACCTTAGTTAAAAGCTAATTTTTATTTATTTATATAAGTATCCAACAATTTATATATTTTTACTAAGTGTTCATCTGAAATTGTGACATAGAAAAGCATTTGTTTCATAGCATTTTTGCAGGGCTTTGGAGTTTGGAAAGTTGGGAGATAAGGGAGCAAGTCCACTGGAATTTCGGGTTAACCCGTTTACAAACTTCAAAGTCGGGTCATCTACCCGCCTCCTATATATACCTCATTTCCCCTTATCAATTTTAGCCATCACATGATCTTTAAGGTAATTAATTAATTAATTATATTCCTTTTTATTTTGGTAAATAATTTTCTTCCAGATGTGCTGAAACTCAGCTTTGCAACTACTGCAAATTAAACTTGGGGAAAATACTGTTTAATTCATTGCAATCTAGCTAGTTAATTTATTCGGAGATCAATCCAACAATTGTTGATTTGTATTCGTTTTTCGTCGATTGTTTCGTTTAATTTCACATATACTAATTAATATTACTACTAATATTATCATTGATAAAAAGAAAAAATATATGTATATGTTAATTTTTTTTCCTTAATCTACCACTATTGTTACTTACTAATGCTTGGTGTTATTAAGCAGATGGCAATTATGTCTGCAATTTCTAGGGTAGCAAGCTTTAATTACTTAGGCCGTCCTCTCTCTCTCTCTCTCTCTCTCTCTCTCTCTCTCTTTGTGTACCTGTCTCTTTCATCCCAGTCTGAAAAAGTAATCCAAATCTTAACCAACATAAATCATGGTTTAGTTTGTTATTTGCTGTTACATTACATATATTGACTTTTAAGCAAATAAAACCAGACATTGAAATTCAACCATCACGTACTTCGTTCTCAAGTAATTTGTATTTTCAGAAAGAAATAAATAAAAAATAAGTTAAAAGCAGCGTAAAGCTTTTTCTTCTTTCTCAGCATCTGATTCTGTTTCTCCTTTTATTTTTTTCTCTTTTTTTTTTTTGCATTTTTTGGGGGTGGGCGGGGCAGGGGTAGGGGTTGGATTATTGGTAAATACGTGGTTGTTATATATTTGACTGTTTTATTATTTTTATTTAATTTTAATAATAATTATTATTTGGGTTGCAGAACTGAGGTAAGAGAGGTCTGAGCAAGTAAGTACACCACAGGCTTTGGTTTTTGCTTTTGAAAGCACTGCTGCAAAAGCTTCAAACCAAGGAAGGAAGCCCCAACCCTTTTTTTCTCTCTCTAAAACTCTCTCTCTCTCTCTTCATATATATATTATATGTATATATCACTAGAAAAGCCAAAGTAGTCTGTTTAATCGTCATCAATGCAAAGGACGGTACAGTCTTCCCCACACCCACTACTCATCATCTGCACCACAGGCATACAGAACCCCCACCACCTGTTTTCTCTCTCCTCAGCCTGAAACCCTAATTTCACAATTTCTCAATTTACCAATTTAATTCTCTCTCTCAGCGTACACAAATAGAGCAGCGGAGGAGCGGAACGGAGATTCAGGAAAGGCATGAAACCGGTGGTATGGAGGTAGATGAGATCCCACGTAAGTACCCTAAAATCAGCAATGGTAATCGGAGACCGGACTCAACGAAAATAGGCCACGCTCTCAAAATGGACGAGCAGTACCCCGACGAAGAAGAAGAAGGAGAGAACAATAGGGATGCCGGCGGCGGCGGCGGCGTCGTACGCGTCGGAGGAGTTGATCTCGGTGGTGGTGTGGGTAGGTTTTACGGCTGGCCTTCGTCGCGAATTGTTAGGGTTTCGCGAGCATCCGGTGGGAAAGACAGGCACAGCAAAGTTCTGACATCGAAGGGGCTGAGGGACCGGCGGGTGAGGCTCTCCGTCAACACCGCTATTCAATTCTACGATTTACAGGACCGTCTGGGTTACGATCAGCCGAGCAAGGCGGTGGAGTGGCTGTTGAAGGCGGCGGCCACCTCTATTTCGGAGCTTCCTCCGATGACCTCTCCTTTCCCCGACACCCCCAAGCAGCTGAGCGGCGAGAAGCGGTCGAGCACGGCCGGAAGTGATCAACTCGGGCTCGACTCGGCCGAAGTGGATATGGACGGCGGTGCTGTTGGTGGTGGAGATCCCAATTACTCCCACCATCATCAGCTGACGAAATCCTCCGCCTGTAGCAGCAATTCCGAAAACAGTAAGGGTTCCGGCCTTTCTCTCTCTAGATCTGAAAGCAGGATTAAAGCCCGAGAGCGAGCAAAGGAAAGAGTAGCGGAAAAGGAGAAGGAAAAAGACAACGAATCTCCCCATGTTTCTTCTCTGAATAACCCTATTTCTCAGACCACTTCTTTTACTGAGCTCTTGAGCGGAGGGATTAATAGCAGCACTAATGGCGGCGGCGGCGGCGGCGGCGGCAGCTCAGTTCATCAAAACCCCAACATGAACGAGTCCAATTTCTTCCTAAAATCTCCGAGGCAGCAATGGTCATCTACTCCGATGGATTATTTCAATACCGGGCTTTTAGGTCCGCCGGGAACTCGTTCGGGGCAAATGCATTTGGCAGCAAATCCGTTCACATCGGTGGCTTCTCAAATGTTCAGTGTTGCCGGAGACCACCAACCGGAGCTCCACCACTTCTCTTTCGTACCAGATCACTTAGCCCCAGATGTAAATGCTGCTGCCGGAGGGAACAACAGTAGCAGTGGCGGCGGCGGCGGCGATTACAACTTGAACTTCACCATCTCTTCTTCTGCAAACTCATCCGGCCTTGCTGGTTTCAACCGGGGGACCCTTCAGTCCAATTCTTCCTCGCCGTCAATGCTGCCTCACCTCCAGAGGTTTTCCGACGGTTCTCCTCCAAGCTTCTTCGTATCCACCGCCGCACCTGTGGAGAACCACCACCAGTTCCTCTCTGGGTACGACGCCGCCGGCCGCTTGCAGCTCTGCTACGGCGATGCTCATGCAAACAACGGCAGGCATTCCGGCCAGAAAGGGAAAGGCAAGAACTGAGGAGTCGTCGTCGTCGTCGTTCATTCCAGGTAAATTTTCTCAAACTTATATTAATTAATCTGCATTTGCATTATATTTGTGCTTGTTTCGATTCGATTTAATTCTTTTCACGTAGGTTTGAATATTTGATTTTTGTTGCGTCTTTTCTGATTTGACGTGTTCTTTCGATTTTCTTGATTTCACAAAAAGGCATGACCATTGGGGAAGAAATATTTATATATATATAAAAATTATATATATGTATATATTTATATGCTACTCTCGCCTCATTGTATTGTCTTTTAATGAAAGTGGCATAAATACCTGCAAATTAGGATCGGGTGGTTGTCTCTTTGTTTGGTTCCCCTTCTTTGTAACATATACGGCGGAGACAGGTGTTGCTCTGGTAGTGAAAGGTGCAATCTGGTGGTGGCGCAAAGCCATGAGAGTTTAGGTTAGGTGTAGGATGCAGAGGATCTTTTCTCTTAATATTTTATTACACAAATATTTGTGTCTCCTTTTATTGTGGCTGCCCCACTATTGGTCCGTGACACAAACTCTGGCGAGAGCTCAACACTTGTCAGTCCAATCGGCGCACTGTCGATTTTATCTTATTTTAATTAATACCTCTTACCCACCACTACTTAGGGTTTTTAAGTTTTACCTGTGATTTAGGGTATCCCCTAAACTAAGAAAATTACGGTTTTATCTATCCTACACCCGGTGAAGCTTACATAGGATGATTTTTTACCGTTAATCTACCCAAAAAAAAAAAAAAAAAAAAAAAAAAAAAATGTAGGTGTATGTGTGTTTGTGTGTATATGAATGGTAAAGATCTACCCGGTGTATTTCATCCGATGTAGGATCTCAAAAGCCGAAAATTACCAAGGAATAAATCATTTGCTTTTTTCCTGAGTTTTTAAGCTAATTATTTTTAGTTGAATATTAAAAAAAGTAATCAAGCATTTAAATATTCTTATAGCCATGGTATAACTGAGACTTAGAATAATTGGTGTGATTATATTAATTTTATTACTGATTTTTTTTATTTGTATAGATTTTTGAATTGAAAGAAATTATAATTAAAATTATTGATCCTTTGGTTTTTTTTTTTTTTTTGAAGTTAACTAAAATGTTTTTGTCATTTTAATACCAAATATAGCTAAAATAGCTAGTCATTTCATTAATTAAGATAGTAACACAACCATTTCATAAATATATATATATATATATATATATATATATATATATATATATATATATATATAGGTTTGCCTGCCCCCATGCATCTTTTCTTTTGGTCAAAAAGAAATTTTGAAATGAATGAATCCGTACGTATTTTTACCTATATTCTTAATTGTATTTTTGTATAAGAAAGAACTAGGCAATTGGCATTAGAAAAGTCTAGGGTTTTGGGGTTGTGGTATCTGAAATTTAATTTGTCTTGGTGGTGTCTGCCAATTTTCGATTTCACCGTCGACGAAGTGTGTTTGATGAACTCTTTCATTTTGAAGTTTAATATCTGCTGTATGCATTTTGAATTTCCTTGAGCTGCATTGGTCTTGCTAATTAGATGATTTGGGTTCAAATGTGCGATTAGTTTATATGGTTACTTAGTATTAATGTGTGTGATTGTGTATTAACTTTGTATTAATGTGTGTGTTTATTAGAGTTGCATACATGGTTACTATAGTTTTTGTAATGCGAGCTAGGTGCAATTTAGAGTGAATCAAAGAGTGAATCTACAAGATTTTGAGTATTCTTATGAATCAACTGTTGATCTACGTGAACGAATAATGTCGTTAATTACTAGAGATTACTCAAAGTAAATCTATAATCTAGATTTTCTTCTTGTTTTTTTTTTCCAATTCCCCACAATCTGCTGCATCATTTATACAACCTGTCTTTGGAACCAAAGCCGGGCCGGGCCTAATGTATGTGTGGGCTTCTATCCAACCTAGTACTCGGGTTTTGGGTCGTTCCATATTCCAAATACCTTTTACTATCACCACACCTCAACAAATGTTTGTGAGAATATTATGTGAGATAAATGTTGTAACATGGGATACCAGTAAGTGTTGATAATGTTAAGTCGTATAATTTTCTTATCGGTAGAATTAAAAACTCATGTTTCTTTTGTGCAGGTACGTAAGTACGATGTCGGTTTCTGAGCAAAAAATTGCTTACATGCACCACAGCCTTGGCTGCTTATATTTGTTGTTTATGCCTCTGAATTTGCTGTTGTTGATTCTGAGTTATTAATGTTATTCAGCACTGTGATTTTGCTGATGGCATATTATAAACCTCCTTTTTTTTTTCTTTCATTCCGTTTGGAATTTTTTTTGACTGTTTCTGCGTTTACGGAACTGTTCATATAATTGTGTATGACGATCATTTTCAATTCTCTCTCTGGTAATAATTTCTGACGCCTCATCCCTACACATTTATTTTCTCTTGTTTGTTTTGCCTGTCTCTGTTTTTTTTTCTTGGGCATTTCTCTGAATTTGTGGGTTTTCTCTTTAATCTTTATCTATGGGACCAAACAGCACTTAAGCGAAGAACATTATGGTGTTAAAAGACAATAATAGTAAAGGTGGACTAGGCAGAAATAATAATTGATGAAAGCAGACAATAAATAATTGACGAAAATAATAAGAAAGACTGTCAATAATGGACATTAGTAGCTGGAGACAGCTTTGTTGATAATTGCTCAATTCCAGAGTTTTCTTCATGCTGCTAGAAAATGGCTGTTAGTTGAATAAAGCCAACTTTTTATTATATTTCTTAATTCATATTTTGTTTTTGGACTGGCTAAAAAAAAAACAAATTGATGTTATTACCTGAACAACAACAACAATAAATAAATAAATAAAATGAAGCTGGCCCAGTTGAAAACTTAGCTAGTTGCCAAGGCTGGAGATTAAAATATGACCACCTTTTTTTTCTTGGTCTGGGGGGAAGCATATCATTAATCGACCCAATACATGCATTAATGGAGTTAAATAAATAAAAAGCAAACATCATCAGTTATTACATCCATCCAACTACTCAAGACAGAAACCAGAAGACACAACTTGAGACTATTTTTCTCCAAAGCAAATCAGGTGGGTCATCCCCCATTTATTCTTATTCTTGTCTAAATTTATAATGAATTCATCTATATATGTTGTCCACAATTTCAAATTGCTATTAATTATATGTAGCCATAACTGCACTTCTACACATTTCTGTACATTTGCAAAAAAATGAAGGCCCCATCCCCTAATTTTGATGTGACCTAATTTTATCCTATAAAACATGCTCTAAAACAGGAACAAAACCCCCTACTTTCTGCCAATGTAAGAAATCACACAAATGATTGTGGCACCAAATACAAGATGAAGATCACATTTATTACGGCAGTAAATCAGCTAATGCAAAGATTCACGGTACATTTTCCATAAGAGGACACAAGCATAGAATCCTCATATACCTACAATATTCACAGATAGAAAACTAACATAGGCATATGACTGAAAAAGACATAGGATCATAATTTTCTTACAATATAATCCAGTTTCATATGCATGAGTTCAAAATCAAGGCAGAATGCAGACAAATTTTTGCAGTCATAACTCGAAGGGACATAACCTTGTGCAGACATGCACTCGTAGCTTGCTTTGCTCACCACAAAACTTGTGTATTCTCTGCGCTTCTCCAGATTATTTTAGACTGTTCTTGAAAAGGTGGACTTTCCCTGGAAGATCCATTGGTATCAATGAGAGTAATTAGAATTATTAATAAATTAGGAGAAAACAATTGAAGAAAGTTACACAAAGAGCAGAAGGAATGCCAATACTACAGTTGTAGATACAGTTCAATACGGCAGTTGGAGAAAAACATCCCTTCTTAAACACCCAAAAAAAAAAAAGACACCAAGATGATGTGAATTTCCATCCACCAAGTAAGCGCACAGATCAACCATGTGGTGGTTCAACTATAAGCATATTAAGTGGGAAGATACGCTTGTTCAGGAATCAACAAAATAACAGCAAATGTGTAAGCTGCAAGAGAAATCTCCAGCGGTTACAAAATAGGATATATTTACAGACATTTGTAAAAAGAGCTAACCAGAGGACAAAAGATAGATTATGCAATTACATGCTGGAATTCTCCAACTCAATGTCTTAATTTATTCATCAGCATATTACACACAAAAGCATTGTATGAGTGGTTTGGGATGCAGAACGACATTTTAAGTCGAAATTGTGCCTTGTTAGTACAAAGGAAAGGAACTTAATCACCAAGAAAAATTGCTGTATCAATTTCAGGGACGCATTTACATATATCAATTCACCAACACTCATACATGGTACACTAATATCTAAGAGACGGCAAACTATTGAAACATTGCAAAAAAGCAACAAATATGACTACATTTAACAAACTTATGAATGCATCAAATCCTTTTTTTCATGGATGAATCAGGCACTCTGAAGAAAACAACTATAGAGGTTTCATGCCATCCCCGAGACTACTTCAGTTTGTTTTCCGCCATCTATCAAAATAAATTCTTACATATAAACACAGATCACAAACCCAATCAGATATTTTTGGAATTTGCAGCAAAATCAAGAATACCTCAAACATGCAACCGTTCATCCTTGGACAAACCCCATCTCAGAAAGAGTTCATTTCCAGGCAATATGTTCTCCTCTTCACCAACATCCTAGCAGCAGTCCCGAATGGCTCCTCAAATGCGGATGCAACCCAATTCCCTTCCGAACCCACAACCTCCTTCTTCGGCTGCTCACTGGGCCTGATTGCAACCAAAGTTGCCCCCTTCAACACCAACCCATTGGGCAACTCAAGATGCGGCGCATACCATAACCGCATGTTCAGAGCAGGAACAAGAGTCCTTTTAGATGCTGATGATGCAGATAAAGGCTTCACTCTCAGCTCCTCCAATTGCTCCTTATTCATAGACAACACCCCTTGCCCATCTGAATCCGTCAATACCAAGCTCTCAAGCGTCTTATGCTCTGCTATTATAGGCTGCAGCAGATAATGCCTAGCTGAGGCTGCAATGAGTGAGCTAATAGTCCACACAACTCGCAACTTCAAGCCTCCATTCGTGTAAAACGACTCTGGTATGCTGCCATTATCATTCTCAACTCCGTTATTATTACCGACATTATCGATATTTTGACAAGTGCCTGAAGAACTTAAGTTACTGTTCATGTTCTGGACAACACTGGATGCTCCGAGAATAACACAATTATCAAGGGTAGAGCCGAAATCAGCCTTCCACTTGAGCAAAACACCGTCGTCAATCCCTAGCTCTCCACTGGGAAGTTCTATTCTGAGGAGCTTGATTTCGTTAAAATTCTTCAATACTTGAGTGGGTGAGTGGTGGGTGACGGTATTCTGCTCAGTTTCACCGTCGAAATCCTCAGATAGAGGCAGGCGACGGGTTGAAGGAACGATGAGCTGAGAGAGCGATTGCAAGGGTTTGAATAATCCGGAGAAGACGAACCGGAAGAGGGAGGAGATAGGGTGGCGCAACTTGTCGGAGGCGGCGGAAGTGGCCGAGGATGAAGAAGAGGTGGCGGAGGGGTCGTCGTCGGAGATGACGCAGTCGACCCGGACTATGACGTTGTCGACTTGGGGAACGAGCGAGTGGAATCTCTTCGAAACGACGCAGCATCTGCCTAAGGCCTTGACATCGCCGATTTGATTGAAGATCAAGAGGATGAGGGAGTCCGGCAGCCGGTCGAAGTGGTCGATTGGCTCCGGGTGGATTTTTCTGCCCAGATCTGCCCTAATCGAACCCATTTCCAGCAACAATTTACAATTCTCCGCAGGCAATTCAATCGCGAAACCGCAGATTTCGGTGGGAAATAGTGATTTAGGGTTCTGCAAACAAAGATCTAAGGAGAAGAAATAGAATTAGGAAAGTATGGAGATGAGAACGCAAAAATAATTGTGGGAGAGGGATTCTTAGCTGTTGAGCTTAATAGGTAGGTTTATCTGTGTGTGATTTAGGGTATGGAGAGTTGGGGGAATCCGTGAAGAAAGAGACCATTCGAGGAAAATGGTGGTGGTGGTGGAGGAGAAGCCATACACGATTTGTATGTGTAGTCTAGTGCGTGTTCTCTCTCTCTCCTCTCCTTTCTCTCTCTAGGCAGGATGTGCGTGGGGCAAAACGACACCGTACCTTACCGTCCGATTCCGATACCCCCGTTTTTAGGTGGTGATTAATGACACTATTTACTAGATTTAATGACACCATTAATATAACAAATACACAAGGCAATTATAATATATTCAATATTGTGGTTGGAGGGGCTAAATGGTAAATTATTATTTTTAATGTGAGAGGAATTTAAACAGCAATAATAATAATAAGTAATGAAGTCAAACAAGGGAATATTATTTTGACAGCAAAAGTAGGTACCAACAAGAGATTCCATTTGCTTAAGTTTTACTCTTGTGTGTTTTAGGGTGTATTGTTAACTAAGTAATCATCATTGAGTATTTTGATTTTCCTAATTTCTAGGTATACTATTGCTGCAAATATTTTTTGTCTTAAAATGGAGTAAAAAGGTTAAGCTGAAGGCTGATGCTTCAACTAATTAAAATAAAATTTTAAAAATAAAATTAAAAATAGTTCCAGTGTCACATTAAATATATGATTATTGCATCATGTAATATATTATTTTAATTTCATCCATAAAATTAAATAGTTTCGTTTATTTGAATTATTGTACTTTCTCATATGATTAACAGAAATACATAATTTAATTTTCGGACAGGTCATTCCTTAGGACTTGTAGTTGTATTATATATTGCACTGAACTGCATTATTATCTTGATGATGCATTACAAGTTGTCGTGATTATTTTTTATTTTTTTTTTCTTGACTTACAAAGTTGCTTCGAATTAAAATTTAAAATAAATAAATAATAGATAATCAACCATTAAGTTCAGATAATCGCACGTACGCACCCACCCCACGTACACACACTACACATGTTTTGAGTTATGGAGGGCTTATAGACATGTTAGCATGATGCCTATTAAATTTATAAGTCTCAAATTTGGAAGAAAATTATGAAGATTCAATTATATTGAATCACATCACATGGTTTCTTTAGAAGAAAAAAAATTAAAATGTACACTATTAGGTATATATAGTTTATTGAATATAATAATACTTCAACCAAGTCCAATCAATATATTAATTTTATATAGCTTGATTTTTTGACATGATTTGTAAAATATCTCAAATGATTCTAAATAAAATATAAATTCAATTCTACCGTTGATTCAGGCAGTAGATGACTCTGTAAAAAAAATATACGTATTATGAAGATAGCCCATTTATGAAGCATTTCCTCGTCAAACGTCTGAAGAAGAAAGATATATCAGCGAGAGTCGAGTTGAGCATACAACGCTAGATCCGAATATTTGATTAGTGAACCATCAATTCTAATTGGAGGGAAACAATATCCAAACGCGGGAAATGAGTAATTTATGTAAAGATATTAACTACCACCACATAAGTAGTTACTCCCTCCGTTCCCTATTAAGTGTCGTTTTTGGCTTTGTACAAGGATTAAGAAACTCAATAAATGTGTCTTGATTTTAGGTAAAATATATTAGAAGGACTAAAATAACCTTGATTATTTAATGATATGATAAGAGAGAATTAATACTTATAGTTGAATTAATAAGGTTAAAACAGGAAAACATGTATCTAATGCAGTATTGAAAATCTAAAGTGACAGATAATATGGAACAAAAATATTTTTAAAAAGAGACAGTTATTATGGAATAGAGGGAGTATTTATCTTTGTTTGATTGGTTGAGAATTAATTTTAAAAGTTAATAATAAGATTTGAGTAGATGATGAGATTCGAAAGTTGTGTGCAATAATAGCAATGTATCCTTTTGTAGGTACCAATTTTCATGTGCAATTGTGCAAAGCCTTAGATCTAGGATTATTTTCTTATTTAATTAACATAGAACCCGCACGTTACTCCATGTCTTCATGTTTTATTTACACCCTTTTTTTTTTTGTTATAATATTTTCTTTTTTTTTACCATTTTAATTTATATATGCATATATATATATATTTCAATTCTTTAGGAAAAAGTCAAAAAAATCACAGTTTTCAAGTAGAGGTTGATGGAGCATAAAGCATACGATGCCCGTGCAATCCGTACTTAAAATGTAAAATAGAATCAACATTGCATGGAAAAATGTTTCTCATCTGTATATAAAAATTGCTACATGATTAATTTTTTTGGCAAATAAAAATCTTCTATCATTTGTTATCATGAGATATATTAAAATGTTTCTCGATTTTTTTACAAAAATACTTTCACAATTCGTCGTTTTCTTTTTCATATTCAAACGCTAATGTTCATGCGCTAACTACCTATGGAATTTTATCTATTTTTGTTAATATTTAATCGATATTAATTGGTACAGACAGATTACTAAAAGAAGAATAATTTATATCCCAAGGAAAAAAAAAAACACCTCTATATAAATAGAATTGAAACTAAATTAGTGTATTTTTAAACTCAATATTAACATTGATAAAGAAAGAAAAAGATTAATATTCCGATTTACGATCGCCACTAAAGTAATGGAAGTTAATGCATAGGATCCCACCCATTGAAATATATATATATATATATAATATAAGAAAAGACGAGAATGCCCTTGTACAATGAGTTATTGATCACCGAGTACGTCCTTGACTCGTCTGAGTAGCCAACTCAAAAGAAGGAAAAAGTCTCTTTTTTTTTTCTTCTTAATTTTAAATTACGGTCCTGGATGTTATTAATTATTACTCCCTCCGTCCCAATTTAAATGTTGTTTTGGGTTATTTTGCACATATTAAGAAAATCAATAAATGTGCATAGATTATAGTAAAAAAACAGATAAAATTACTAAAATATCCTCAATATTATTTGATTATCAACTAATTAATTATGAGTGATTAAGGGTAAAATTGAAAATAATGCAATTAATGCTTCATTGAAAATCTAAAATGACAAATAATTTGGGACAAAAAAAAACTCTCTAAAAAGAGATATAATATGGGACAGATGGAGTATCATCTAATTTGTCTCGTGTGACTAACAAAATTAACTGCAAGAATTGTATATATATTTTGTTTCATTTTCAATATTGGTCCTGATTTAGGTCGGGGAATAATCATGTATTTGGTCCATATATATTAATGTTAGGGTTAAGACCAAAAATCAGAGATCCATTTTGTTTATTCTCAGAAATATTGAAAGAGACTATTGGAATTCACAAGTCATAACATAAAGAATGAGACCATCACAAAGGAGACAATATTATGTCCCTTTCATCCCCCATCAACTTGATTTCATGTAATCCCCACTTTCATAGATGGTATATTTAATTTTGTAGATGCTACACTTTGTGAAATACGACGAATACATCTGGTGAAATACACCGGATGATATTACAACATTGATCGACACATAATAACACACATATCCATGGGTATTGTATGCTCAATGAGTGGATATTTGTATAGTATGATGCAAAGTCATCCGATGTTTTTCACCAGACGTAGCATCTCATAGACTGTTATTTTCTTGCAAAGATAAATTTCAATTTTCTTTGGTTCAATTTGTAGGCTATTTATAAGAATATTTATATTACATTGAAAAGAACAAAAAAAAAAAAGATAAATAGGAGGGAAAATAGAAAATTGGTATGGGGTGGGGGATGGGACGAACAAATATTGGACTTGTGTAACGTGATGAAATCAAGAATTGGCTTAAATTACATTTTGTGGCCCATGCTCAATGTCATCAAACTATAGTATATACTCTTAACCACACACACAATATGGCCACCCACGCATTGCCATAAATGATTTAAAATAATAAAAAAAAGACAGATTATTTCATGTCACATTCAACCACAATATTGTGAATATTTTAAATCTTGAAATTTAATCCATAAAAAAAATATCTTGATGGTAAAACCAGTCGTTCAATATTCAGAATTTGGTGCTCATGATTCATGTAATAAAAGCAAAGACCCCCACAATTAATGAAAATTCCAGCTAAGGTCCTTAAATAAACCCAAATAGGAAAGTGAAGGTGCCATTTTTTATTAGTATTATTAATATTAATTTATTATTTTAATTATAATTATGTCCCCACCTTTGTCTCCTTAAACTGAAGAATGTTTACGACGACGCATACAAGTTGCGGCCACATCGATCACACGCATTAGACACTGTGTGAGAGTGAGTGTTATCTGGCTTCTCTTTCTTCATATTCGAAATATCAACTTCGAAAACATCCATTAGGGCTTTCGAACCTTCTCGGAGCTCGTCAGCACTGGGAAAATCGTGTCGAAAAAAAATTAGTCTTTATAATTAATTAATTATACGTTACAATGTATCATTATAGACGGGTTTTGGTTTTGATTTAATTTCGTCGTACCTTATCGAAAGTGGAGGAGTTAAGCGAATAATAGAATCGTGAGTCGGTTTTGCGAGAATTCCTCTCTCTTTCAGCTTGAGGCAGATATCATAAGCTGTGACGGGGAATAAGGCTTTGCTATTAAGCTCCACAGCGTTGAACAAACCTTTACCTCGTACTTCTTTTATAAGGTTGGGAAATTTCTGCTGAACTTCCACAAGCTGTTGTCGAAGCTGTTGTCCCAGTTGATCGGATCTATCAAAGAAAAAAATTATATATTTCAAAAAAAATAAGCGGCTGATTTTAGATGTGATATATTCTTTGAAAAAAAAAAAGTAAGTTATGATAGATAATCGATACCTCTCAGCCAGCCTCTCGTCTCTTATCACGTCTAGTGATGCAATGGCAACTGCACTAGCCAAAGGGTTCCCTCCAAATGTGCTGCATATATATTTAAGGCCGTCCGTAGTAGTAAGTTAGGAATGGGAATATTACAATATATATATATATATATATATATATATATATATATATATATATATATATATATATTAGTATTAACCGAAAATACGAACCTTCCATGCTCTCCAGGCTGTATGCAGAGCATAACATCTTTGTCAGCAAGAACTGCACTCACCGGCAAAACTCCACCACCCAATGCTTTTCCTAATATCTTCAAAAGACAAAAAAATCGGAGATTTGATATTCCGAATTTAATTAAAGGTTTTACCCTAATTGTCGTTGATTATAATTTATACAGTCGATATTTAGAAAATGCACCTAATCAACAACTCAACAATATTATCCAATTTCATAGACAAGGAATCAGGTATCCAAACAAAGGCAGAATGAAGATGCGAATTTTGAGTTTATATACAAAGTTTAAGAATCCTTACCACAACATTGGGGCGGACATTTTCCCAGTCACAAGCAAGAATTCTTCCGGAACGTGCTAAACCACTCTGTATTTCGTCGGCAATCATTAGAATGTTGTACTTTGAGCAAAGATCTCTGACAGCCTGTAAATAACCATCTGGGGGAATAACAACCTAGAAGAAAGAAAAAAAGAATCATTAAACCTCAAAATTAATTTGAGAGATGTAATATCACTAGGAATAAACAATCAGAAATATACAGATAGAGCTATTCCCCAACTCGCCGCTTTACATAATTATAAATTTCAAGTTTAAATAATACATAAAAATTAAAAAGCAATTAGTTCAATTCGGAAAGATGCATACCCCAGCCTCCCCTTGAATAGGCTCGAACAGAAAACCAGCAATTCGATCCCCATTTTCTGGTAACCACAATTAACAAGGATTTTAGTTCATATAAACAACAATTTAAAAAAAAAAATCTGGATTAACAAATACGGAACTGTAAATCTAAAAACCCAGATATTGATTTTTTTTTAATGGATATTGCTTGTTATAAGATTTTTGCATACCTTTAAAGATTTTCTCGAGTGCCGCAATATCACCGAAATCAACTTTGAGATGGCCAGGCAACAAGGGCCAAAAACCATTGGTTGCCTCGCTATCACAGCTCATAGAAATAACAGCTAATGTACGACCATGAAAGCAACCACAGCATGAAACAATTATAGCCTACGATAACCAAAAATAAAACATGTCTTAGAAACACAAGGTCAACATTCAATCCAAGACTGGAATAAACGCCCCATTTGTCATCTAATCAACTTCAGAAGTAAAATTTTAATGTATGTGTTGAACGTAATTAGACAAAAAAAAAATGCATTTCACTATCGTATTCTATGGCAATACGAGAGCAAGACAAAGAATGGAACATTACTTAACTTCAATAATAAACTTCCCATCCATCATCAATCTGTTATGTCAATCATGCTTATAAAGGATTTACGATCTCATTTTATGAAGTATACTTTTTTTTTTCCAACAAAGCTCGTTCTGCAGTTTCTTGAATATTAATTTAACTATAAGACAACATTACATTTCCATACCTCATCTCTTGGAATATTTTTCTTCAGATATCCCCATTTCCTCGCCAACTTCAAAGCCGTTTCAACACCTTCAGCACCCGTATTCATCGGAAGTGCCATGTCATAACCGAGCATGCTGGTCAAACGCTCTGCGAATACTGGAAACACATCATTATGGAAGGCTCTAGAACTGAGAGTAAGCTTTTCAGCCTGTTCTGCCAATGCTTTCATGATCTTCGGATGACAATGTCCCTGAATCAACAACATCTTTAGTTTAGACATTTCTTCATTCACTTGGCGGGCATATAAAATGCATGATCAATATACTACAATCTATCCCTTTATGTGTTTCAAAGAAGAAGCAAACACCCAAATTTCTTACAACCTTATTACCTGATTGACAGCAGAATAAGCTGAGAGGAAGTCTACATATTTTTTGCCTTCTGGATCCCAAACAGTCGACCCTTTAGCTTGAGAAAAGACAATAGGAATAGGGTGGTAACTGCAACATAACAAATGATCGATTAGAAACAATCAAAACCAACAAAAAATTCAGACAGCAAATCCGTATACATAGGATGAGAAACAAATCAACAGGCAGACAGACGGAAAAAGATGATAAAATTAAGGAAGGGTTTCGGAATTTACTTGTGGGCGCTGCACTGGTTTTCTAAGTTGATGAGATGCTGAGTAGACGGCGAAGAAGCGCTGCTTTCTGGGACCGCGCTGATAAACCTCGACGCGCCTCTTGCCCACCCAACTCCGTTCATCAAACACCGTACGGATTTCTTCGACGCCATTGAAATTCTGATTTTTGATTCTGCAATCGAGAAAAAAAAAAAAACCCCAATTTTTGCTCCGCCGATTAGTTTTATCTACGAGTAAAGTTGCTTTAATTGGTGGCGTAAGATCACACTTACCAATGTTCCGATTTCCGAGTTCTAACAGGGTGACGAAAAATGGTGCAACGGACAAACAAACCGCCGATCACATATAAAGTTGCCCACGGGACTGAAATATTGCATGCGAAATTACCGATGGGCCCCTCTGCTGCATAGGATTCAGGCATTTACATCTAAATAATAATAATAATCCTCTGGGTTAATTTTGAAGATCTCCCGCAAATGGATAAACTATTATTTTATATTACGTGTCATCCTTATCTATTTTTAAACTAAAATAGTAAAGTAATAATTTAGTCTTCTGCATTTGTTGACTTTTATGTTGACTCTCTCACTCTTGCTGCACTATTGCATAATCCGGCTGCATTTTCAAATAGTCTTACTGAAATGTTTTTAAAACATTCCCTTGCCGAATTTTGTTTTCCACACCAGTATAGCAATACTAATCTTTGCGTTGACTAATTTTGACTTTGACTAATCTTTGACTAATGTAGTAGATTTTGTAATAGTCTGACTGCAGTTGTATATAATTTTACTGACTGAATGATTACATGATCTGACAAAATCTGATTATAGTGAAATTAAGTTTTGCATAATCCGTTTTGAATTCTGCTGTAGTATAAATAAATACATCATATCATTATGAATTATTTTTTCCACTAAAAATAAATTATATAAAAACTCATATATGAACAAAATTTAAGCTCTAATTACATTATTATATACAATAATTCATAACATAATATATTATATAAAAGCTCATATATGAACAAATTCACACTTTTGATACTTATATATATAACACTACGATTTAACATCTTGTTCAATTAGTACCTGACAGTTTTAATTCCACCTAAGCCAAAGTATAACCAACAACTTTACAACGCAGTAAATAAAAATAAATAAATAAACTGAAAATCAATAAAGAAATTTTCAGGTATATATATATATATATATATATACACCTCTCAAACATCGAACAAAATTTGCAGAAATGCCATCACAACTAAATAAAAGGCATTTCCAACCTTAGTACTATCGAATCAAGAAATATACAACTAAAGTGTAACCACCAACTATAAGACTTCTACCACATATAGGACAAACAGTATTTACCAACTAGACTTATTACAAGAGTTGATCTAGCACAACTACAGAATAATGCCACCGCGAGAAGAAATCAAGAAAATCCTGAAGCAAAACCGTAAGAATCTAACCTAAATCTGCACTCTTAAAAGAAATACGAGAAGAAATCTAGACGAGGATCAAGTCAATGTACCAAGATTCATCATCTGTTCTGATTTTGAAACAACACTAATCGCAAAGATGAACGATTGAAAACTGAGATCACTTGAACTAGATCGGTGCAAAAGCGAGCTAAAATACTGGGAAACTAATAAACTTACCAGAAGGAGAATTTCTGTTAGTTTTGAGTTAATAAAATAGACTCAAGCTCTTCTGATCTTTATCGATCATGTGGGCAGGTGATGAAGGAAACATGATCAAATATAATGTTGGAAGATAATTTAATCAAGCAACAGTATCCATCGTAAAGAGGCTATACGAATTGGAAAACGGAATGTGTATCCAGTAGTTATAGAACAGACAACCACTTAATACAAGATCGAGCGTGATGTGACTAATTTTTTTTAACCAAAAAATGAATTAGCTATATTCACTTGGGAATTTTGAAGCCAGATAAAATGAACCGTATAAACAGACCAGCACCAAAAAAAAAAGTGTGGTACCGAGCAAAACCTAATGATAATATTGGGACACGTATTAATTTTTCTAGGGACCAAAAATCTACTCTAGTTAGTAAAGTTCAGAGTTAGCTGATAGAGTTACAAACGAGATTTTCTGGCATTCGACAGTGATAATTGGGAAAGATAAAATTTTCAGGTTATCTAATTCCTAAGGACGAATCGAATAGAATTTTAGGGTAGATCCCGAGACGGGCATGAAATCAATCAAATAGAGGCCATTAGTCAGATAAATTACCAAAGTTAATGAAATCCATGGAAGCTACTCGACAAGGGGCATTTCAGTAATTACAGTTTCAAGACTGAGATTAAGTACAAAACTTTCACAAGGCAAGAACATTGAAATCGGAAGGAGATTTTATCCTAATAGCATTATACGTTTGATCAGGAGAGGTACTTCTTTCCTTCTACAGGTATGAAGGGCATTAAAAGGCATGTAGAGTAAGAGATGTTTGAACAAAGATAGCAGAAAACGAGAAGGAGCAAGAACACAGAGGATTCATGTACTCTATGATTTCGATTATGAAGTTGTTAACACGAGCAAAGCAAAGTTGGAAATAAGAGTTTTGCAGAAGAGAGTACGATCAATAGCAGGAATTGAAAACGCTGCGGATGAGTGTATCTTTATCATGCAGCATAATCAGAACCAACTGTCACTTGAAAAAAAAAGGAATACTCTACCAAACTTCCGGAAGCATCTTCTTCTGGTTACCTACAGAAGAGACGAGAGTTCACCAGAAGCCTAAGAGCTAAATTGATCTCCACGAAAGGAAACCCTAGAGGAGTTTTGAACTAGTTTCGACTTGATATAGAATGATTTCATAACTCAAGTGGACATAATGAAAGCCTGAATCAAATTCTCAGCGGCACGTTTCTGATCAGTGGTGCCAGATATTAAAGCCACACGATCACCTCGCGAAGATTTGGAATCTAAAATCTCGATTTCCGCTCCGGATATCTGTAAAAGTAAAAACACCAGAAAAGTATGAACAATAATTACCCTAGATTAGCAATTAGAGAACAATAATTTAGATTTTTTTCTTGGATCAAGAGAGATAATTTACTTTGCGGATATTGTCGATGTTTGTGCCACCTTTTCCGATGACTTTGCCAACCGCATATGCAGGTACAAGCATTTCCATAGCAGTTGGTGGAGGCAATCTGATTTAAAAGGACATATTGCAATATATATACTTTGAAAATACAAAATAAAAAAATATATATATTAGTGATGTAATAAATTAAAGACAGGAGAGACTAACCCTGCAAAAAGTGACGATGAATGCGAAGCCAACGATCCATATCCACTGTCTCCCATCTTCACAAAAAAGAAAACACAAGATTAGAGAAAAAATAATGCAAATTATGGGCTGACAAGTACTTAAGTATCTTTAAAATATTAAAAGTATTTGTAGAAATTCGACAACTTTTACTAGTGAAAACAAATTACTCTTTGCTGATAACCATAACCGCTCGAAGAAAGCAATCCTAATCCACTCTCAGTATCAAGCCTTTGCTCATAACCCAATGCATCACTTGACGACATGTCACGGAAAACTGATGGCATTGGAAGAGGCAAACCGCCACTGTATAATGGCTCAACACCTCCCGAAGGATTACGAAATTCTTCTCTATCTTTTAAAACATCATCTCTGAGCCTCAAAATAATCTGAATAATTGCATCTCTTAGATTACCAACTTGGCCGTAAATCTACAGATAAAGAAACAATTTCCCGTGAATAGGATATCGATTATCAGACAAGAGTCAAATAACAACAATAACATGAACCAAGTTGTAGAGACCTCAACGAGTTCATCACTGTCACCAGCACATATGGGCTTTTCACTTTTGGAAATCCGTATATCTGCCCTAGTTCTTTTCCGGATTTCGTTGATTATCGAACCACTTTTCCCAATAATACAACCGATAACCCTTGAAGGAACAAGGAGGCGGAAAGTTCCAGTGCTGTCATCTTCATCGTTTAACTTTTCTTGTATCATAAGCACAGCTTCAACTGCCATAGATTTAAAATCATCTGCTGACTATTCAAAACAAAAACCAGACGAGGTTGAATATAGTGGGAGATGAAAAATCAGAAAACGGGCATAAATGTCTAACAAAGTCACACATGCATAATACGTATATCAAGATTCATGTCAATCATATAAAGAACGATAAAAGAAGTACTAATTCCAAATATATTATATCTAAAAGATACGAGAAACTACCTCCATGGAGATTACAGTTACAACACACTCATTATGTTTACCCTTGGGGTCTTCAACCTCAATACGAGCACCGCTATCTTGCCTTATATTATTGATGGCACTTCCACCTTTGCCAATAACACGACCAATCTTGTTCGAAGGGCACAGCAGTTTTACGGCCAATACCTCAGATCGTGAAGAACTGCCATAAGCCGGAACCAAAGGAAGAGCAGATGAATAAACGGGCCAAGCGCTGCCAGCATCACCATAACTCGGAATATCTTGTGCATGGGAAGGGCCTAAAATGGAAGGCATTGATCTTGCATGGTTAATGTGATCTACGCTTGGATATAGTCCTGTAGAAGGATATATTGGAACATCTGATGGAATTATGATGCTTGGTCGTGCTTCTGAAATTGAAGTGTCGAGAGGAATCTTTTCCTTTGGTGCAAACTTGTACATAATTGCAGAAACGGCAAAAATTGCTTTCTTTACCGCCTCTGATTCACCGGATATCTGAAAAAGCAAACGATGTCAAGTATAGAAAATAAAATCACGAAAAAAATAAAAGAGAATTGAACAAACCACAAGAAAATTGTCAAACTCCAAGGCGCAAGCATGAGCTGGATCAGTGGCATCCTTGGCAGTAACCCTAATGTTTGTCCTTGTCCTCTTTCTTAGTTTCTTGATAGTTGACCCGGATTTCCCGATAATATTTGCAGACTGGCTAGACGGAACAAGAAGCTGGCATTGTTCTGTATCTCTATCTCTATCTCGATCTCTATCTCTATCTCTCTTCTTTCTGTCGGAATCTACGAGTACAGCTACAGCATTAGCTATGGCTGCATGCACTTTGAGGAGAGCATCTTGTGCAGGGCAAAGAGGTTCAGTATCGTTGAATTCTTCATCGACCTCGATTTCTTCCTTTTCCCTCACGTAGCAATAGACAGTTATAACTCTATCACGCGAACCTGGAAAGGGGTCAACCACCTTGACCTTTGCTCTCGATTCTTGTCGAATTGTATTTATTACTTTTCCGTTTTTGCCAATCACACTCCCGATAACGCTATCGGGGCAAAGGATTCTGTAAGCTATTACTTCGTCGTTTCCGTTTCCGTTTTCGTCTCTGTCTCTTTCCCTTTCAGTTCTCCTCTTCTGATTTTTGCTGTCACTGTCATCACGGTATGATCGATAACGCTTCCCATTTTCACCCATTGCACAATTCGAGAATCTCTCCCCCTGAACCCATTAAGAACTGTTTTAATCAAAATCAAGTACATAATCATGTGTATAAATGCAGCTATATATGTAACGCGTACAACAAAACACTTGACTAATTGTCTTCACCGAAAGAAATAAAAAATAAAAATAAAAACGTCATACTATTCATCATAAAGCTGTAATCTAAGGGCATGTACCTAAAATCCAATCTCACTACAGAATCCCAAATGTTGTGTGCGTGTTTGTGTGTGTGCGTGTGTGTGTGTGAGAGAGATCGAGAGAGAGAGAGAGAGAGAGAGCAATAAGAATAAGAAGAAGAAGAAGAACCCACCGCGGAAGGCAGTCGGAAAAATCACAACCGGTGGTCCGATGCAAACCCTAAAATCAAAGAACAGTACCAAGTAAATTCCGCCAATCTAATTAAAATTGAAGGTAGGTAGAATTCGATAGGTGTATTTCGTCACAGGGGTAAATACGTCAAGGAGTAATAATTGGAAAATTCGCTCCCGGGTTATTCTATCCAAACCAATGACCCATTTAAATTAAATGGATCCACTCCAAACCAAGACCTTGGATAATATCAATTTTTAATTAATAACAATCTGACCTAATTTAATCAATTTTTCTGTTAATTAATCTTTTTAATAACCCAAAAGTTCTACAGAAAATAGCGAACTGGATAATAATATTTGGGCCCCACTTAAAATTGGGTCAAGTAAATCGACCCGTTTAAAATGGGTCCAAATATGTAACTTAACTTATAATACCTTTCAAGCCCAAAAGCCCATACAGATCCTGAACCAAAATTGCCCCAATTAAATTAGGGATCTGGCGAATTAATCAAAAAAAACCCTAAAATGCTTCGTTCGAAGGTTTCGCTTCAAGTTGAAATTTTCTGCTAATCAGCACTTGTTTCCACTGAGATCAGCCGGTAAGGTATCCCGAATCCACTCGCAGCATTAATCGCTAATTTTCCTGAAAAAAAGTTGATATTTTTTTAAGCTAATTGCACATGCTAATAGATAATACTTTCGGATTAACCTTCATCTCTGAAATGAAGAAGAAATTAATGCGTGTTTCCATTTATCGATTTATTTTTTCTTTCTGTTTTTTAGGGTTTTTTATTTGTTACATTCGATTAACTAGGCAGGCTTTCGATATAGTTCTCTGATTTATGAATATTATGACTTTGCTTTTTTACTTTGTAGATGCATGAAGGTATGTTGACAATGGATGATGCCTTTCTTGATTGTTTGTTATTTTTGAAGTTAGTTGAATTCGTCGACCAGATAAAGAAACAGAGAAGCCATTCTTGTTTAGAAACCAAAGCTATTTCGTTATATAGTTGAACTGGCAATTTGTGTAGAACATTGATTTTCGTTATTGTGTTCAGCATTTGATCCGAAAAAAAATGGCTTTTTTGTTGTCCGACAGGAGTGATGAACGCTGCACAGCAAGACGGGACATGCTCGAATCACGCCGAAATCTCCGATTCTTCGGAACAGAAAAACCCATCGCCTTTTGTGGGCCATGCAAAGAAACTGATACACCACAGAATGCTGATTGGAATTAAGGACGGAAGATTCTTTCTAGGCAGCTTTTATTGCATGGATAAGCAAGGGAACATCATTCTTCAAGACGCAGTCGAGTATCGCAGCACCAGAAGAACTTCTCCTTCACCGATGGAACATAGGGCCGTTGGTCTCATCCTTATACCTTTCTCTTGTCGAACTTCGTGTCATGCCGATTGCTCTGTTGAAGACCAGCTCTCTCTTTTGTCACTTAAAGATCAAAACTAAAATACGAGAGCTTTCGACTTGGCTGATTTCATTGTGTTAATGTGACCTAAATTTGAATGTAAGCTTGCACAATTTTGTTCCCCCTGCTAATATAGTAAATTTATCTCATTTATTACATAAAATTAATATTCACGAAAATGCCGGTTCTGTATATGATTCTGCATTAGAACTTCTGTTACTTATGTGTGTTTTCTCTTTCGAGTTTCTGTTTGTGCAGTGATTATTTTGATATGAAATGATTCTCATTTATGAATATGACCAGGCAGGAATCATAGCATCAAATTATAAGAGTATAATAAATAAAGGTAAATAAATAAATAAAGATCAAACTGAACTATTTAGAATCAGTTTGAAGCTTTCAGAATCGATCGGTGTATGGAGTTCCGTATACAATAAGGTAAGGCACAATACGAACAGCTGTATCGATCGGTATTGCAAAATTCACCCCGGAGGATGTTCCACTCCCTGCATTATCATGGTTCAAAGTTAAATTTGTTTGGACTTTAACTTCATTCCACATTATATATATATATATATATATATATATATATATATATATATATATTGATGGAAGCGGAAGGTATGCGACTTGTGCTTTCTCT